ACAGGAACTGTCACTTGGTGAGTGGAGCCCTTGGGATAAGCTGCAAGCATTGGTGGTGTTAGTTCCCACTGATTCTTCTGAATCATTCCCAAGCCACGGTTTTGGGTTTAGGTTTTAGGGTTTAGGGTTTAGGGTTTTAGGCTTTCGGGTTTCTTAAGGTCAACTTCAAAACTTCAACCCCCCCGTGATGTCATGTCCTGGAGAGGCCGATTCGGTGGCCGAGAAATTGGACGGATGCCTGTCTGGATGTAGTTTGGGGTTTAGGGCCCCTAAACCCTAAACCCTAAACCCTAAACCCTAAATCCTAAATCCTAAACCCCAAACCCCAAACCCTAAACCCGGTAAGTTCAAGGCTGTTAAGCGGTCAGGCTTCAGCCCGAGAAACCCCAAGCGTCTACCTCAAGAACCAAGCTGTATTGGTTCGATTAGGTAACCTACACAATTCTGGTTTAGGGGTTTAGGGTTTAGGGTTTAGGGTTTAGGGTTTAGGGTTTAGGGTTTAGGGTTTAGTTGGCTTGTAGGGTCCCAGGGTAGGGGTACAGAGCTTCCCGCTGCTGGGCGATGGGGAGGAAGTCTTCTCCGTAACTTTGCTGATCTTTTTGTTTTTTCCAAATATGCGGGGCCGGAAAACCCAAACCCCCAAACCCTGCTTTTCCCTGTTCTTGAGGGGCCTGACCCTAATCCCAAACCCTAGACACCTCAGTGCGGTTCGTTTGTAACCCTAGTGTGGGCGCAGTTCAATTTGGGATTGAGGGTAAGGCCCAAGCCCTACACTCCAAAGAGTCCTAACAGCCTCAACCCCCCTGGGACCCTCAACACCTTGCACGCCTGGCGCCACCCTACACCCTAAACCCTAAACCCTAAACCGTAAACCCTAAACCCTAAACCCTAAACCCTAAACCGTTTTCTGAGTAGCGTGCGCGAGTCGACATTTTAATGGCCCTTAGCTGTTTCGAGGGGCTTCCACGCTCAGGATCCGAACTGCCCAGACCTCGGCGGAATGATTCCACAAGTCCCGAGGTCTAGGGTTTAGCAACAAAGGGTTTGGGCTTTAGGGTTTAGGGTTTAGGGTTTAGGGTTTAGGGAGTCCGGATGCATTTAGGGTTTAGGGTTTAGGGTTTGGGGTTTAGGACGCCTTAGGTGCAAAAGGGTCCTTTTCTTCTGGGCCCTGCGGCTCCCGGCTGATTGGACAGGGCTCTGGGTTCAAGAAGGGTTTTAGGGTTTTAGGGTTTAGGGTTTAGGGTTTAGGGTTTAGGATTTAGGATTTAGGGTTTAGGGCAAAGACTGCTAGATTAGGATCCCCTCTCGTTCGGAGTTCCTACTTCACTGGGGCTGGGCTGTTTTGTTTCCCCTCCGGGCTTTTCTGGGCTTGGGTAATGGCAAGCTTAAGAGGTCCGGGCGAAGAATTACCTGCAGAACGATCGGCGATGAGGACTGGAGCTGGGGACACCACCTGGCAGCCCTTCAAATTCTTTGGCCAACTGAACTCCATCTCGACTTGAATTGGGTTGCGCAGGCGGATCCAAGCCTTACAGAAGTGTGAGCTCAAAGTTCTTCTTGGTTTGGGGTTTAGGGTTTAGGGTTTAGGGTTTAGGGTTTAGGGTCATGGACAGCGTGCCCCGCAAGCCTTGAATCTCCTCGGAAAACCACAAGAGTCCCAAATGTCAGTACCGCGAAGGCCGAAGGCTAAGGCCATAGGGGGCCTCAAGCTGCTGCACCGGCCGAGCAGAAACCGCTAAGCCTCACTTCACTAAACCATCCTAAGCCCTATAAGACCTAAATTAACCCCCTGCTTGACGGCTATCGAAGACAAACCTCAAACCCTGAACTCTGAACCCTAAACCCTGAACCCTAAACCCTAAACCCTGAACCCTAAACCTGAACCAGAGGAGCGCGAACGCATTGAGCGCAGCTGACCCATGAGTGATGGAGCCCGTTGGCCAGCTGGCGGTTCAGGGGAAAAGGGTTCAGCGTTTAGGGCGAGTATTTGCAAAGCCTGCTGCAAAAGGGGTTTCGGGTTTAGACTTTCCGGCCAGGGCATCATAGCCCGGATGCAAAAAAAGGGATTCCTGGACCATGTCGGACCTAAACCCTAAACCCTAAACCCTAAACCCTAAACCCTAAACCCTAAACCCTAAACCCTAGACCCTAGACCCTAAACCCTAAAGCCTTAGAAAATGACCACACGAGTTTGAGACGAGGTCGACTCGCTGGTCGACTAGGGCCCAACGCTGCTGGCATCCAAAGACATAAGAATCATCGTGGAGGGGAGACGGGTTTAGGGCTTAGGGTTTAATTACCCTAAACCCTAAACCCGGTTAGGGTTTCGGGTTTTTCGGGATTATGGGGTTTGTGGTTTCGGGTTTAGGGAGTTGTGCCACCTCAGTGAGCTGAAGCCGCAAGTGTGAGGAATTTAAGCAACTTCGAAGAGTTTAGGGTTTAGGGTTCAGGGTTTAGGGTTTAGGGTTTAGGGTACAGGGACCCGACCGCCGCCGGATGGCCCGGGAATGAATCTCAAGGCATACGTTGGGAGGCTTCGTGCAGATGCTCAGGGAAAGCCTCCACAGAGCTTTGCGGCACCGCGAGGGTTTGTAGGGGCCAGAGCCTGCGCCCAAGAAAGGGTTTAGGGTTGGGTTTAGGGTTTAGGGTTTAGGGTTTAGGGTTTAGGGTTTAGGGTTTAGGGTTTAGGGTTTAGGGTTTAGGGTTTAGGGTTTAGGGTTTAGGGTTTAGGGTTTAGGGTTTAGTGTTTATGGTTTAGGGTTTAGGGTTTAGGGTTTAGGGTTTAGGGTTTAGGGTTTAGGGTTTAGGGTTTAGGGTTTAGGGTTTAGGGTTTAGGGTTCAGGGTTTAGGGTTTAGGGTTTAGGGTTTAGGGTTCAGGTATAGGGTTTAGATGAGATGCGAACCCCACATCTCGAGCCCCAGTCCTGTGCAAGAAGCCTTCGTGGTTCCACTTTGGCGGGAGGCGTGCCAGCGGGGCCATGCGGAGCATGGATTCAGAAACCCCTAAACCCTAAACCCTAAACCCTAAACCCTCATTCCTCCTTGCAGCTGCGCCCCATGCGTCGACAGCATTTCCTCAGAATAGGATCGCAACACAAGCGCGCGAGGGGGGGGGGGGTTGGTTTAATCGAGGTGTCGTTTGTGTATTTGACCGATGCTTCGCTGGGAGTAGCTCCGAAGCTCTAATCGGTGGTGGGCCTAGTAGATCTGTTAGCAAAGAGTAGCCTGCGTATGCACTAATTTCTCGGTCAACCTGTTTAGATAAATTGGTTATAAAAATAATAGTGTATTCCTGAATTTCAGATCTTTGTTGGCCAAACCTTCATACATAAGCTGTAGCATTCCTCAACATTGCATCCTTGTAGACCTAGTTCATGCGAAATATGTTGTATATGCTGTATTTATAGGTTTCTTATGTAGTTTGGAGTCTGCGCAAGGCGCTTGAATCCGCGCGCCTGTCCAATCAGGCCAGCCATCTCGCAGTTTCGGCTTCGGCAGCATGCGTTCCCATTATGGCTGTGACATACCGGGGCTTTACGGTTTAGGGTATAGGGGTTTAGGGTAAAAAAGAAAAGGGTTTACAAGGCTGAGCGTTTTAGGTCTAGGGGTTTAAGGTTTACGGCTGACGGCTGAGGTCGGGTGGACCAAAGGCTTCGTACTATTGCAACAGGAGCCCGAAAGGGACCATACCGGGAACTGTGGCTAAGTCTTGGCACAGACGGCCATATGGAAGACTTTGCAAGGCCAATTGCAGCATGTTCGGCGCATGAAGACGCAGGAGCAAAATGGAGAGGATGTTGCGCAAGTTTGAGCCTGGGATTGCCACGACCGACTGCACGCCCTTGTTCAGATCTCCCTCGACCCGGATTCCTAAACCCTACCGTGCCGGAGGGAAGAAAGACCCTACAACACCCAGCTTCAGGCTTTATGTGCGGTACTGTTGTGCTCTGACTCACTGACAACTTGTGTTGACTCGGCTGTACCATCGAATAGGCTTGGGGAACTCATCCACAAACCGAAAAGCATCAACAACTTAAAGCGTTTCCTGGAATTCCACCATGTGAGTAGGTTTCCATACTCCAATGCCTGCAAAACTTCGAGCATGAATGCGACAAGCATCAGAAGGTTTACTTTATGAAGTGATTCTTGACTTCTGTTCCAGCCCCATGAAACTAAAACCCTCAACCCCACCCTCCGCCCCCCCACACACTGCCCTGAGTTTAGATAACCCCAATATCAATACATTGCATATATATATATACATATAAGACAAGGCGTAAGGGACTAAAAAAGGCTCCCGAGGATGAGCCATTATGGCAACCCTGCCTCAAAAAAACCCAAACCTACTTCTTTTAGAGGTTACTCGGATAGAGCCCCTTTTCCGGATTCTTGCACAACCTACACACAACCTACATAAATGTAGCTTCTGGGGTTCTTTTCAGGTATACCCCCCCCCCCCCCCCACAAGCCCAGACAGCCTCAGAGGGAGTGCATGCGAGTGGTGAGGGTTTCGTTGTGGAGGCCTGGGGCTTCGGGGTCTGCCTGGGCCCCCTGGGTCGGTTTAGGGTTTAGGGTTTAGGGTTTAGGGTTTAGAGCTCCACTCGCCGCGGCCAGATTTCCTCTCTCATCCTGCCACGGGGGTGACCTTGGCCTCAGGGTTTAGGGTTTAGGGTTTAGGGTTTAGGGTTTAGGGTTTAGGGTTTAGGGTTTAGGGTTTAGGGTTTAGGGTTTATTTAGGGTTTAGGGTTTAGGGTTTAGGGTTTAGGGCTCCGGGTCTAGAAGGGGCAGGGATACCTTGGCAAGGGCTATGTCTACATCCGTGCGTCTGCAAGGGTTGGTAGCCCAGTGGTAACCTTTTCCCTGTTTTTGGGGTTCAAGGTTCCCTAAAAAGGGCCCGTAAGAGAAGGTGATAGGGTGCCGCCCCAAAGGATTGTAGCTAGTGCTGGCGCTCTCCACTGTGCGGCGAGCCACGACCCTGGTGGTTCTTCACCTTTGCCGGCATGGCGTCGCATCCTTGGCATTTTGAGCGCGAGGGACAACAGGGCACTGACAGGGTGTTCGATGCTTCGGGCGTTCTTTTAGGGCTGGGGCCGCATGGCCACGTAAATGATATTGTTCCGTTGAAAGCTCGGGATGTTGCAAGGACGACAAATTGAACAAGTCTTGTGGTTCTGTGGCTCTTGCTGGGTGAATGTTGGACATGACAGCCACACTGTGACATCAACCACCTGTCAAGACATTCAAGCATGGCAGATCGCCCCATCCTGAATCCTGCACGCTCTGCAACGCGTGGAAGAGCCCTACAGCGGCCGTGCATCTTTGTCAAGCAGTGCCGCTGTGACCTGTCTTTTTACCTTATCTGTCTGTACCAATTCCAGCATGGGATTGCATTTTCGTCTCCGTTTCTCTGTGTTTGTTTTTGTTTTTTTTTGTATGTGTGTGTGTGTGTGTGTGTGTGTGTGTGTGTGTGTGGGTGGGTGGGTGTGGGTGTGTGTGTGTGTGTGTGTCTCTCTCCCTCTCTCTCTCCTCTCTCTCTCTCTCTCCCTCCCTCCCTCCCTCTCTCTCTCTCTCTCTCTCTCTTTGTCTGTGTGTACGCCTGCTCCCCTGTGCGCGCCTGCTGAAGGTCCAGTCCAAAGGCAGTTCGACTTAGCTCGAAAGCTGAGCTGGAGGCCGGGAGGGCTTGCTGGATGCTGAGGTTTTTGCCGGGTCTGACACACCAGTTGTTTGATCAGCACATGGCCCTGGCCCCGGTCACACACGCCGCAGCAAAGTCCTGATAGTTGTAGGGCTTAGGGAGACCTGGGTCAGAAGCAGGAATTCATGTCAGAGAAACACGGTGCACAGCGTACACTAACCCCCTGGTGGCCGCGGCTCAAGGATCATTCCACCGAACCGTTCTTTTCACGTTGGCCTTGCGCCTTCTCTTTCTTGAGGCTTTACCTGCCACATCGACAAGCACATGAGCTGTACGTTGAGACGTATAGGGTAGTAGAGGGCCATGCTGGAATCCTTCGGGTGATTTCGGGCCTTGGGTTTGTTGGGGGAGGCTTCTTTGCCAGCTTAAACCGTCCTTGCACTGCTCCCGATGGCGCCTTGGGCAGTGCTGACAGCCCTCTTCGTCGGCCTTTTCTGGCCGGCGGCAGCCTGCGACCTGGAGGAGGGCGATGCTTACTTCTCCAACAGCTGAACTTTGAACTTTTTGGGTTCCCTTTTTTAGTAGGAATAATAAAGTTAACAATTTTTTGCCCTTGGTTATTGGAGAAGTAAGGATGCGGCCGAGTGCACCACGGGCTTCTTGCAGTCGGGCCTCCACCTTCAAGTGCGGATGCAGCACGAGGTCGTACCGGTCCCGGCGGCGCCGCAGCACCGCTCGACAAACTGCTCCGGCCGGCCTTTGGTCGACGACCTCCTCCCTCCCCTGAGCCTCCTTGCCGAGGAGCGGGTCTTGCAGGAGCTCGGCTTTTCCGCCTGGCGCGAACACTGCCCGGCCGAGGGGTCACCTCCAGCGTTGCCTTGTCATAGTTGGTACCATTTTACGTTTTTAAAAGTGCTTAAACCCTATAAGGAATAAACAGTTAGATTTTTCAATATCATCCCAACCATGAACTAGGTTGGACCTCCTGCAGTCCCACCGCCTCGCCGACGTCGCCGCGGAGAACCGCTGGGCCTTGTGGATCGCCATGGGATGGCTCTCCGTTGCTAGGACGCGGAGGGGGCCCTTATTTTATTTCCTTTTTTTTAGGGTTGGGGTTCCCTTCTATTCCCTTATACTCCCCTTAAAACTCCTAGGTTAGGTTACTCCTGGGTCTAGGTTGCCATGGGCCTCATCGTCTGGTCCTTTGCGCTGGTCGCCGTGGTCCCGGCCAAGGAGAAGGATCGCCGCCAGCTCAAGGAGCCCTTGGCCGACCAGGAGCGCGCGTACCAGCAGGGCGTCACGCGCTGGATTGGCCTCTCTTGGCTGGATGAGCTCTTGGGGCGCTATGGCAAGTCGGCGCACCCGAAGATCGATGAGAGTGAGCTTTCGTGGAACCGGCAGTCCCTGCGGGACTTCCAGCCGCACCTGACCATCCAGGCACACTGGGATGCCGAGGTGAAACTTTGTCATAGTTGGGTAACATTTTACATCTTTGAAAGGTACTGAAACCCAACAAAGGAATAGAAATTTAGATGTTTAATATTATCACAACGATGAACTAGGAAAGCCGTTGGGGGCGACGTGGACAAGGTGTCCTTGGCCAAGGTGATCTTCAAGTCCTTGGGTGCCAAGACCATGCTGGCCATGTGGTTCGCCAGCTTCGGGGAGGAGTTCCTCAACGGCGTCTGCATGGTCTGGGCCTTGAACAAGTTCCTCACGACCTTGGAGAACATGGAGAACCTTCAGAATGCGTCTCCTGGCATTCACCTGAGCTACCTGGTGCCGACGATCCAATGCGTCGTCCTGATTTGGGGTGTGCCCTTCGTCTATCGAATCTTCTCCATCTCAGTGGTGCTGATACTTGTTCATAGTGGGGTAACATTTTGTACTTTTTTAAGGGTACGGAAACCCAATAAGGAATGGATATTTAAATTTGTAGTACCATCCCAACCATGAACTTCATAGGATGGACGGGCACATCTCCAACTTCGTGACCTCGGGTCTGGCGTCGATGGTCTTCCAAAAGGCGCTGCACCTTTCGGCCGGCAGCTCGTCCGAGAAGTCCAGGGAGACAAGCCAGCAGGAGATGCCGAACATCGTGCAGGTGCTTAACCAGGACATCATGGGCACTTGGACGGACTTGGCACAGCCAATGGCCCGGCTGGTCAACGCCCCCCTCAACATCGGAATCCTCATGGGCATGCTGATCGCGGAGGTGAAGGCGGCAGGATTTGTCGGATCGACCTACGTGATCCCCTTCGTCATAATCATCTTCCTGGTTCTGCAGTGGCGCCTCTCCTGGTATCGCCGATACCAGACCGCCACCGACCGACGCATTCGCTGGTTGCAGGAGTCGCTGACCCACATTCGCACGATCAAGGCCCCGATATATTTTTATTACTTTTTTATTCATATTAATAAACCCCAAGAGGATATGAAACACCTTATGTTTATTCAGGTTCTAAGGGGAGTGCAGAGAGGCCCTTTCCTGGGAGAAGCTCGCCTTCGAGCGCAGCGCCGCCGGCAGGGCTCTGGAGTTGAGCTGCCTGCGTGGCTCGATGTTGATCACGGGCATCCTCACGGCCCTGGGCCCCACCGTCCCTGTCGGCGTGCTGCTGTGCACGATGCTGTATTTCCTCGAGGTGGACGGGAACATCAAGGCGCACCAGGTCATCGTCGTGTCGCGGATCATCGGGGCCGCCCTGAACGCAGTGGCCATCATCCTCGTCGGGCTCCTTACTTCTCCAACAGCTGAACTTTAAACTTTTTGGGTTCCCTTGAACAATAAAGTTCAACCCCTTTTTTTTGCCCTTGGTTCTTGGGGAAGCAAGGCTCCAGAAGTTCATCGAGGTGCCCAATGCCTTCAACCGCATCCGCCGCTTCATGTCGCAGGCGGACAGGCCGCAGCACGAGAGCCAGGCTCGCCAGGCTGGTTCCTTTGTCATGGTTGGGGGGGGGGGGGGGGGGGGGGTAGCATTTTTTAACGATTTTTAATATAAGGGTACTTAGACTCAATTATAAGGAGTTTAAATTTTTTAGTGGGGCAACATGTTTTTACATTTTTAAGGGTACTTAAACCCAATAAGGAATATGAATTTCAATTTTTAATATTATCCCAACCATGAGGTTCAGGCCCGGGCCACATGCTGCGAGTCTCCGGCAGCTTCACCTACACCGAGGAGGAGGCGCCGGTGCTGCGGAATCTCGACGTCAGCTTCAGCCGCGGAGAGCTCGTGGCCGTGGTTGGGGGCGTGGCCTCGGGCAAGTCCTCCTTCCTGAACGCCTTGCTGGGAGAGCTCTACCCCATCGGCACCGCCACCGTGGACACCCCGCCCCCAGAGTCGGGCAAGATCGCCTTCTGCGCACAGGTGCCTTGGATCTTCGAAGGCACGCTCCGGGAGAACGTGGTCCTGGATCAGGCGATGGACGTGGATCGCTACTGGCACTCGATCCATGCCGCCGGCCTCACTGACGACTTGAAGATCCTCCCGGGCGGCGACGAGGTCACCATCGGCACGCACGGCATCCGCCTCTCGGGTGGTCAGCGCGCCCGGGTGGCGCTCGCCCGCGCCGCCTACGCAAGTCGGGCAGAGATCGCCATCCTCGACGACCCCTTCGCCTCCGTGGATGTGCACACGGGAAGGCACATCTTCGAACAGTTCGTTCTCGGGGACCTGCGCAGCAAGTGGACGCAGATCATCGCGATGCAGCCCAATCCGGCGATGCTCACGAAGTTCGACAGGATCATGGTTTTGGAGGGAGGCCAGGTCGTGGAAGACGGGAGTCCATCAAAGATTCTGGAGTCCCCGGCCTTCAAGAAGCTGCAGTCGCAGGTCGCGGAGGAACCGGCGCAGGGCCAAACCCGATCGCAGGTGAAGTCGGACTCCCCGGCCTCAGCCATAGGCACGGACGAGAAGATCAACCTTCGCGACGAGGAGCAGCATGAAGATGTCTCCTGGAACACTGTCACCACCTGGATGAGCCGCGCGGGCTACTGCAAGGTGGCCCTGTTCTTCCTGATCACCTTCGCCAGCAAGATCATGGAGATCAGCCAGACATTGGTCATCGGGAGCTGGATCAACGCCAAGGTGGCAGATCCCAATGCCAACGACGTCTTCTTCATGTTTCTGGTGGCCGGCTGCTGTGCCATAAGCTCCTTCTTGGCCTTCTCCGTCACTGCGCAGGCGACCGCTGCCTCCAACACCGCATCTTCGCAGATCTACCTGGACACGCTCGGGTCTCTTCTGCGTGCGCCCATCGACCTCTTCTTCGACAAGCAGCCGGTCGGGCGCTTGATCAACCGGCTGACGGGCGACGTTGGGACCATCGACGTGCAGGTTCCGGGGATCTTGACAAGCATGTTCTGCACCGCTGCTTACATCATCGTTGCGCAGCTTTGGTCGTTCTCAGTGATTCCGTGGCCGCTGATTCTGGCCGCGTTGCCGTTTTACTGCATCATGGGGTACTTCTTCGGCCTCTACGCAGGCACGGCCATCTCTCTCGTGACCTACACCAAACACATCATGTCGAACCTGCAGGACATTCAGGCGATGGCCTTGGGAACGTCCGTCTCCATCCGCGCGAACAACATGGTGGAGAACTTCGTCGCACGGTACCATCGCCAAGTGCATGCCGCAGTGAGGACGCGGACACTGGTGACTGCCACCAGTCGGGCATGGGCTCAGTCGAGGATCTTCCTGACCTTCGGCACGCTCACGTGCCTCTTCGCCATCGGGGGCATGTGGACTGGCATGCCGTTGGGAACCCTCGCGGCCATCATCACTTTGTCCTTCACCCAGATGGTGGAGTTCGACAACGTGTCCTTCGGCATCACGACGCTGATCTTCGTTCTGAACTCGGTGCAGCGGATTCTGAGCTACAGCGACGTGCCCCAAGAAGCGGCGCTTGACCTGCCCGACGACCCCGTGATCTTCCGGCAGGTCCGCGTGGACCGGTCGCACCTGTGCCAGCTCTCCCTGAAGGACGGCGGCCTCCACAGCGAAGGCCGTCCGCTGATGCGCCGGGGACCAGGGAACCGGGGACTCCGCCTGGAGCCGGGCCGCCGCCTTTCCGACCTCGCCCCCAAGTGCGAGATGCTGAAGGGCTTGGATGGTTTTGACATCGTGGCAGTGAATGGTGCCAGCAGGTCTGTGGAGGCCATCGCGAAGGAACTCTGCGAGCCTCCCAAGACCCTGGATCTCATCCTCTGGAGCTCCGCCGACGTGAACGGCATGGCCGTGAACGTCTCCAACCTGGTCGCAGGCTACGGCAACGCCAAGCCGGTTCTGCACGGCATCAGCGTGGACATCGCGCCACGAACTCGCTGCGGCTTCGCGGGCAAGACCGGCTGTGGCAAGTCGACGGTTCTCCTGTGCCTACTCCGGGTGCTCGAGCCACGACAGGGCACTATCCACATCGGAGGCCGCGATGCCCGGCGAATGGGCCTGGCAGCGCTGCGGAAGATCGTGGGCCTCGTGCCCCAGGACCCGACGATGTTCCAAGGCAGCTGGCGCTTCAACGTGGACCCTTTCGACGAGTTCTCCGACGCCCGGGTCTGGCAGGCGCTCAACTGCGTCCAGCTCATGTCCCACGTGCGCAACCTCCCTGCAGGCATCCAGTCCCAAGTGGGCCGCGACGGGAGCAACATGAGCTTCGGGCAGAGGCAACTCCTGAGCTTGGCACGCATGGTCATCCGCCAGCCCCCGATCTTGTTGCTGGACGAGTGCCTTGCTAGCCCAGTGGTGCCCTTTACTTTTTTTTTGGCTCAAGGTTCCCTTATACAAATTTTTCACCAACCCCAAAAAAGGGGTGCCCTTATTTTCAATCTGGATATGCCCTTATTATAACATAATATGGTTGCTGGGCACCCTAAACCTAATTAAACCCTAAACCCTAAACCCACCCTAAACCCTAAACCGTAAACCCTAAACCCTAAACCCTAAACCAAGGTGCACGTCGGCCCTGGATCCCCAGAGTCAGGCGGCCGCCCAGCGGTCATTGGAGTCGGATTTTCCCCTGACCACCACCATCGCCATCGCCCACCGACTCGAGACCATCAAGGACCTCCTAGGGTTTAGGGTTTAGGGTTTAGGGTTTAGGGCTTCTAATCCTGTCCCCAAGGACTACGACCAGATTGTGGTCCTGGACCAAGGAAACTTGGTACAAACCCAGTGGTGCCCTTTGACCCTTCATTTTTTGGGCGGGGGTTCTGGGTAAACCCTAAACCCTAAACCCTAAACCCTAAACCCCTAACCCCTAAACCCTAACCTCCAAGGAAAAGTCCTCGAGGCGGGGCCACCCCGGGAGCTCGCGGCCAAGAAGGGCGGCGCCTACGCCCAGATGCTGCAGGCCAAGGCCCACTGAGGCTGCGGCCCACAGAGCTTGAAGCCCAGAAGCCCCCCTTAGAAGCCCCAAAATTGTAAGTATATTATAAGTATATTATAAGTATATTATAAGTATATTATAAGTATATTGTAAGATATTATAAGTATATGATAAGTATATGATAAGTATAATAAGTAGCCCGAAACAGAGCAGCATGCATCTTACCTCGCACCCTGAACCCTTAAGGGGTGACCCCAAAACCCGACCCCCCCCCCCCCCCCAAACCCTAAGAAGCGCAATTCAATCTGCACCGGATCGGCCGGTGGCCTTCCAACTTGAGCCGCGAGCGCCGGCGCATGAGGCCGTTACGTGCGTTATGCGCGGCAGCGCGCGGCTGCGCCAGAGAAGCGTGCGGCGACGGCGGAGAGGGGGAGGAGGGTTTCGGCCGAGTAGGTTACCCTAGTAGGTTATACGGTCCATTCGGTTTTGGGGGAGATGAGCCTTCCCCTTCTCGCAGCTGTTGCTTTGAACTTACGCCTGAGAAGCGTGCTTCACCGGAGTACCGGGCGATCCAGCGTTTTAAGCCTCTGGGTCCTGAGCTTACAAAGTATAAGGGTTTGTGGTGTGCCCTATCTCCGGTGGTTTTTGTCACCCCTGGCGGCGCGTGCGTCGACCTACAGACAGCAAGAGTGGAAAAATGCGGCTTCATGCTTGCGCATGCTCAAGTGCAACATCGGATCCTTCAAGTTTTTGCTAACGTTGAAGTCCTAATGGGGAGGACACGCCGATGAAGACGCCGGAGATGGATGACAATGACAGTGAGGAAGGTCTGCTGCGTCGGGTGAGATTCTGGGGCCTGTTCAACAGGGTCTTGGTTTTTTCTTCTAGCACTTTCGGTTCATATGCTTTTTTGGGTACGTTGATGCGGCGATTCCCCTCAAACTGTGGCCTTACTGTGGAGTGAAGCGGCTTTGTGTGTGTGTGGGATAACGGAGATCCCCTGACTGTAATAACCCCTCAGCCCTAGTCTAAACCCTGAACCCTGGCCGGTGTGGGGTGTAAGCCGTTGCCTGTTAAGCCGTTAAGCGGTGCCGACAGGACAAATTGCAATTCGGAATTCACCTGAAGCCAACTCGAAATATGGGCCTTGCCCAGAAACAGCCGGTGGGGACCACCAGTACGCCACTGGATGACGTTCACAGGTTCGATTCCGGTTGAGTAGGGCTTCTTGGGGTACCTATTGAGGTTCCGGGTTGGATGAGCTGTGACTTGTAGGGTCTGGAGTTAGTCGGGCTGCGTGACTGGCTGTTGGGTTGCTGGGTTGATCCCTGCAACCCCTTCGCTCGCGCGAGTTTATTCCCCTCCCCCTAATATGAAACCCACCTACCCCCCCAAAATTGAATACCCCCGGTATACTTTTAGTATGGTATATGGAGGGGCATTTAATATTAGGGGTAGGGGGGGGTTTAATATTAAGGGAGCTCAGCGGGCGGCAAAGACCCTAAACCCCCTAAACCCTAAGCCCTAAGCCCTAAGCCCTAAACCCTAAACCCTAAACCCTAAACCCTAAACCCTAAACCCTAAACCCTAAACCCTAACCTTAACCTCCCTTTAGTTTAGGGGTGCGTCTTCCACGGCACACCAGGTGTGGTCCACGCGTCCTCGACGATGTCATCCTCGGCCCCCGGCCTAAAAGCCGACACGATCGAATCCCGAAGTCCCAACTTACATAAAGTTAGGGTTTAGGGTTTAGGGTTTAGGGTTTAGGGTTAAGGGTTCAGGGTTAAGATGACGGATATAATAAGACAGAAGACAACTGTATAATAGCAACAATATCATGCAATATCATAAGAACATCAGTATTGCGATTGTTCTTATGGTTGTAGTATGTTCGTATGACATTAAGATACATATTACAGTACTGTTATAAAGTGATAATGTAACTATTTAATGGTCTGAAAAGAATATAAACATGTAGCAGTGTGTTAACATAATGATGTTATTCTATAAGCATATAAGGACAGAATGATAACATCATAAACACATAATATAGATCATATTTTGAAAGTAGTAGAGTAAATCATAATGCAATATTGTACTGTGAGGGTGCTGCTGAAGCCTCTCCGACAACGCCTAAACTTCGCTCTTAAAGCCCTTTGGAGAGTTTGGCTGCGCAAGCCGGACCCCTAAACCCTAACCCCGAAACCCTAGTCATGGGGTGCAAGAGTTTGCCGTTCTAACCTTGTGTCGTGGGAAGGGCACTAGGGATCCTAGCGAGAGTGCTGCTGACAGCCCTTTCATGGGTTTAGGGTTATTAGGGTTAAGGCTTGTCTAGGTTCCCTTATGAATCCCATGCAACACAACACTCGCGCCACCCATTCACTGTACCTTGGTTTTAGCGCAACTGGTCGAGGTAAAGATCTTCAGGTTCGAGGACCCCAAACCTAAACCCTAAGCCCTGAACCCTAAACCCTAAGCCCTAACCCTAAACCCTAAACCCCAAGCCCTAAACCCTAAACCCTAAATCCCTAAAGTTCGGAGGCCCGGGAGCAACCCAGGCTCTTCTTCGTTGGGAATCCCAGAGAGCACGGTACTTGAAGGTTCATGGGCACGTACAAGTGGGGTGAGAAGCACCCGAAAAAAAAGATGTAACCACAGCTACTCTGCTTATAAAACCACTTATGAGTTCTCATGACGCGCCCCCTGCAAGGTTTTAGCCAGCCGGCTGCCTACCCTTTTGAGGGTTTTGGGGGGTTTGGGATTAGGGTTTGGGATCCCTGAACTCTAGAGAAAACGCCGGCCCTCAAAAGGGGTAGTTTAGGCTTTGGTCTAGAGAACTCTGAGCAGGAGTGGCAAGCAAGTGCCTTGGCTGCCGATCAGCCCAGACTCCTTGGAGCTTAACCCTCGGCCCTAAACATTTCTCACTCCATGTATACTCCTTCGAACTTTAACCCTAAGCCTTAAACCTTTTTGAACCACATAGAAGCCCATACTCCTTCGAACTCGATTATGTACCCTAAACCCTAAACCTACCAGGAGTTCGCGGCTCTTGCGGCTACTTGAGGTCATGTTTCGTGAGTCCAGACCCGCCTGTGCCAGCAAGGGTACCCCCGTTCCCCAACCCTGAGCCCTTTTAGGGTTTAAAGGCTTAGGGTTTAAGGCTTAGGGTTTAGGATTTAGGGGCCCTGATGCAGCAAAAGGCTTAGGGTTTCGGGTTCACTACCGGCTAGACGGGAGTCCAGTGGGAAGAAGGCTTTTCCTGCCAAAGGCACTGGCGATCTGGGGCCCGCTTCCCCACCCCGCACCCAACCCCCCGCCAAGGGAAATCTTGAAGCCATTCTTGTTGTTTACCTTTTCCCTCTAAGATTCCCCGAAGTGTTGACAGCTTTGGGGGGTTTAGGGTTTAGGGTCCAGGGTTCTTGCTCTGAGTCTGGGTTCGAAAAGGGGTTTTTTCTAGGGGTCGGACTAATGACAAATAGTATTCCCTTATGGTCCCTTTGTTATTATGCTAGAACAACCCCCCAAACCCTGTTCGAATGATTAAGGCCCCTATATTTGGCATTAGGCATTCCCATATCCCTGCAAACGGCCTTGCAGCACGTCGCGTTTGGGGCTTGAGGCTTAAGCCTCAATAAGGTGGGAAACCCTAAACCCTAAACCCTAAACCCTAAACCCTAAACCCTAAACCCTAAACCACCCCTATAGTCTTGGGGGGGGGGGGAGCCTAACCTCATGGGACTCCGCCTTGGACCCCCAAGGTTGTAGCCTTGGGTTCTTGTTACAAGGAGTCTCTAAGGCCACCTAAGGGCCATATGAGGGGAACAGCCTTGCTGGAGAATTGTCGCTGTACTTGTAACCCACTTGTAAGCCCCCCCCCCTTAAGTGCACGAATATGGTTATAAGTACAGTTATAGTTGGTTAATAAGTACCCCTAAACCCCAAACCCTAGATCCTAAACCCCTTTGGTTGAGAAGTACCATGAACCTCCAAGTAGGGTTCGAGTATGACTCCCTGGGAACCCAGGGCCGAGCACTACGTCTGGGGCGAGCGACTGGGCATCAATTGGGCGCATCTCTCGCGGTGCGAAGAAGGGTTGTAAGCCCTGAAGCCCCTTTTCAGTTTGGGTTTGCGGTTTTGGGTTTTGGGTTTTGGGTTTTGGGTTTTGGGTTGAGGGGACAAAATTTCACCCCCCCTCCCTCCCCAAACCTTTGGCTGAATGCCTGCTGAGGAGCTGGCGGAGTTACGTCCAACTTCATCCTGACCAAGGGCAACACTACGTTTATCACGGAGAAGGGGCGGGGCGCGCAGATGGTCCCTAAACCCTAAACCCTAAACCCTAAGCCCTAAGCCCTAAACCCTAAACCCTAAACCCTAGTCCTAAACTAGGGTTCTTGGATTTTCTAGTCATTGTTGTGAAGCATTTCGACACATCATCCCCCCCCACCACCTTAAAGGATATTGCAGGGTTTAGGGTTGCAAGGTTTGAGAATGTTATCGGCTACCCAATTCTCTAGACGATGAAGCATGAAGATACTCAGGATATGAAGGGACAAGGAGTTCGTAGGCCGGCTTCGGGTTCTCCAGCGGAAGAACAACAGGGCCTACTTGGAGGTTCATGCGTACTTAAAAGTGGGCTTGTTGTGGTTTTAACCTTGTTTTCGTGTAACCCCACTTGTAGGTACCCATGAACCTTCAAGTAGGGTTGGGGGTCGAGGGTGTGAAGGCGCCAGCGCAACAAGAAGAGGAGTGCTTCAAGCAACTAAATCGGGACGTTCCCCCCTCATACTAGCAGTCCTTCATAGGGATTATAATCGGGGGTACTGTAATCCATATTAAGGACTGTTAGAATAAGGGGGAGCATCCAAACAACTCAAGATCTAGCCCACGACCGCGACGCAGGGTGGAGAGCAGAAACCCTCGGGGCCAACGCCTAAACCCTGCTTGGCGGGTGGCAAAAGAAACCCACTTAACCCTGTAAACCCTGTAAACCCCTTAAACCCTATAAACCCTATAAACCCCATAAACCCCATAAAACCCTGTCAAACCCAAAACCCTACAAACCCTATAAAACCGATAAAACCCGATAAAACCCTATAAAGCCCCATAAGACCCTCTAAAACCCTACAAAACCCTATAAAGCCTATAAAACCCTGTAAACCTTAAAATAAACCCTATAAACCCATAAAGCCCCACAACGCGCTCTGAAACCCTATTAACCCTAAATCCTAAACCCTGCAACCCAAAATAGCCTAAACCCTATAACCCTAAACCCTATACAACCTATCAAACGCTATTAACCTTCACAGGCATGGGCTGTTCGTGTCTCGGCTCCTCAAGAATCCGATCGTCGGCAACTGCCTTGGCCTCGTGACCCTGCGGCCCGGCCACCTCCCAGACGGGGTTTAGGGTTTTGGGTTTTGGGTTTTGGGTTTAGGGTTTAGGGTTTAGGGAGTTCTTTTTTTTTTTGGGGGGGGGGGGGGGGGGGGGGGGGGGGTGGGGGGGCTTTGAGGGGTTTTTGAGGGCACTTTTGTGTAGGGTGTTTAACAACCAACCTGAGGGTTGTTCAAGGCATATGTGTCGAGCGTACAGGTTTTTTTAGGGTTTAGGGTTTAGGGTTTAGGGTGTTTAAGGTTTTAAAAAGCGTGTTTAAGGGTTTTGAGTGTTTTTCCCGGGGCTGTTGTAGGGTTTCTAGCATGGATCCCGGTGGGGCCTCTTGGGCTCTGCTAGGCGATGTGGGACATTGGGATGTGTCCTAAACCCTAATCCCTAAACCCTAAACCCTAAACCCTAAACCCTAAACCCTAAACCCTAAACCCTACACCCTACACCCTAAACCCTAAACCCTAAACCCTAAACCCTAAACCCTAAACCCTAAACCCTAAACCCTAAACCCTAAACCCTAAACCCTAAACCCTAAACCCTAAACCCTAAACCCTAAACCCTAAACCCTAAACCCTAAACCCTAAACCCTAAACCCTAAACCCTAAACCCTAAACCCTAAACCCTACCCGTATTGGGTTTAAGAGGGTCATCCCAAGGTTGAACAGGGAAAAGGCGCCCGACAAGGAAAATCGCACCCCGACACACCCTTCATCAAACCTATGACTTGGGATGGGGTTTAGGGTTTAGGGTTTAGGGTTTAGGGTTTAGGGTTTAGGGTTTAGGGTTTAGGGTTTAGGGTTTAGGGTTTAGGGTTTAGGGTTTAGGGTTTAGGGTTTAGGGTTTAGGACTGGGAGTATAAGGGGGAGCATCCCAGCCTATGAACCTTCAAGCCCCCAAACCCCTACGCACCCCCGTGTCCTACAGCCCTTCGGCGTTTTTCAATCCCGGGCCGGTCATTCTGCAATCTCTATACTCCCGACCTGGACACCAGAACTCGATTTAGGGTTTAGGGTTTAGGGTTTAGGGCTTAGGGCTTAGGGCTTAGGGTTTAGGGTTTAGGGCCCATTTCCCGAAACCTGGGGATGTTCCCCCTTATACTAGCAGTCCTTAATGGGATCAGAATAAGGGGTACTATAGTCCGTCTCGGGGCTGTTAGCACAAGGGGGAACATGCCAACCGAATCCCAATAACTCCTCTTTCAGCCGGTGGCGCACCAAGCCGAAAAACTTGCCTCAACCCACAATGCCAAACCTTCTGTAAGCTTTACCCCCAATTTCCGAAGTGGAGTGTATATGGGTCTTGTTTCTGGCACTCTTAAAATAAGGGCCCCAAAAAACGGGAAATTCATTTAGAGAACTACCTAAAGTCTAAACCCTAGACCCTGGACCCAATTCCCTGAGGAGTTTAGGGCTTAGGGTTTAGGGTTTAGGGAGGGGTCTGTGCGAGGTTTGACGCCTACCTCTCGTGCGCTGACATTGACCGGCGTGCGGCTGGCATACCGGAGCCCATTTGGCTGTCCCTGTCGATGGAGACTGGGCTGAGGGGTGAGAGTTTGGTTTGTTTTGATGAAAGGGTTAGGGTTTAGGGTTTAGGGTCAGATTGTAACCGAGCTGCTGTGGTCACACGAGGCTCGCTGCAAAAAGGGTCAGAGTTCCGGGCAGTAGGCGGTAGGTTCACCCCAGAGACCCCCGAAACTCCTTCCTCAAGGAGGGTCGACTTGACTTCGGCCCTAAACCCTAAACCCTAAACCGGTAGAGGTTTGCGGGAGCCATAAGAGAACGCTTTGAGGGGTTTGGAGGGGGGGGGAAGTAGCAGTTTTGCGGGCATCGTGTGCCACGAGTCAGTCCATCTCTTGGTCTACGTAGTTTTGGGAAGGGTCTATAGTTTGGAAAGGCTGCCTTCCTGCCACGTTGACGTATTCGGTAGAACAAGTCATCTCGAGTCCCAACTGCACCGTCTGCGATTCGCATACCAAGGACATTTGTCTTCTGGCGTCGCTTGATCAGTTCTGGTCAGGGGAAGGGGGGGGGGGTTCACCCTGCATACATACACCTATGTTTGTACATGTACATAACCTCAGCCAACTCAGTCATACCTATTACTACTATTTTCTTAAGAACCCCACAAGCAAAACAAAAAACAATCCCTATACTACCCTTATTTAATAGGGGAAGAATATTTTGTTTTTTTCGGGGTTCGTAGGCAATTAGTAGATGAACCTCCTGGTAGGGGTCAGGGTCTCGGTTCAGGGGTGCCCCAGAGATGTTCGGATCCAACCTTTGCCACCGGTGCAAACCCTTAACAACGCCTACGGCCTGATACCAACCAGGAAGGATTTTACTGGGCCGTGCTTGGGGATGATGTTTGTTTTTTTCTGCTTCTTTCCTTGATACTATATGGGAACCTATTCAGACATGATGTTCCAAGGGTTTAAAGCACAACTCAGTTTATGTACTTGAAAGAAAGATAGATCTATATATACATACATATATATATATATACACATACATATGCTTATGCTTATGCATATACATATACATGCATATACATTTATACATATATATATATATATATATTATGTATATATGTATATATGCATATATACCTCAAACACAACAAAGCTGGTAAAGTTGGTCCCGTGCTCAGGTGTTGCTGCAGAGGAGGATTGGAAAAGCAAACCGCAACACCACATTTGTGTCAAACGCATGTGGGTCTTTACACTTCAATTCAACATCGGCATATGCCTGAGTTCATTCGGTATCAGAAAGCATGTGGATCAAACACGTTCGGCACCAATGGAATCGCATTGGCAAAAACTAATCCCTAAAACCGAGTCTCTCATAGTTATTCTTCTGGGGGGAGGGGGGGGGGGTTGCTTGTTCCAGCTGCAACTGAACGCCTGGCTCAAGATTGAGCCGGCAATTTCAGGGACGCCCAAAGGGCGTGGATATAAGGGGCTTATGAGGTTATGTGCGTGTTTCTTTTGTTGCTTCAGAAGGCTAGGTGGTTCGCGGGTTTGCGTGTGTTTGGCTCTTTGGGGCTTGCACTTAGCCTCTTTCTATGGCGTTGCATACCGGCGAGACCACGCAGCAACAGGCCATGATTGAAGCCTTCCGGACCTGGTGCCGCGAGCAGGCGTGTGACATGAGCCGAGTTCGGGTGGATCGAACATCCTCAGGGCTGGGCTTGGTGGCCGAGCAGGACATTGGTGCAGGGGAGGTCGGCCTGTCAGTCCCTCTCGAAGCCTTGCTGACTGTTTCCGCCGCCGCGAAAACGGACATTGGCCAGGCCGCCTTGAACAGCGCCACGACGCGGCAGGGGCGCCTCAGCTCCCAAGCGCTCATGTACTTGGTCATGGTGGACGGCTGGCATGACCCGGCCAGCAAGTGGCACAGCTACCTGAGATTGATACCAACTAGGCACCATGATCCTCTTTGGTGGACCGACCAGGAGCGACAAGAGCGGCTGGAAGGAACGCAGCTCTTCCATGAGGCCCATCGTCACATGTCGCAGTTGCGCGACGTCTATGACTCCCTATTTCCCGCTTTGTCTCAAGAGCTCCCTGCCTTCTTCCCCGTCGAGCGGTACACATTTCAAGCATTTCTTTGGGCTCGGTCCTCACTGTCCTCGCGCTGCTTCTCAATGCAGCAGCTCCGCAGTTGGCTGGAACCCGATGGCCAAGAGCCTCGGACGCCTCCGAACGTTGACCCGGCCGCCCACGAAGCCGAGCGCCTGGCAGATGACTGCCCTGCGGCACTTTGCCCACTCTTGGATATGACGAACCACAACCCAGAGACTTGCCTGTTGGGCCAAGTGTCCCGCGCACTACCACTCTTAACAGGAAGGTAGGTCCAGGTAGGTGTCCCGAGCGTAGGAAGCGCATTGCTCACAAAAGCCTAGGCTTTAGCTTTCATTCCGAACGCTCAATCCTCCCGAAACGGATCCCATCGGTTGCAACAGCTGCACCGGGGACCCCAAACCCTAAACCCTAAGCCCTAAACCCTAAACCGTGTATCGAACCAGGAGACACAGGTCCGTGTTGGCTTGGTGCGTTGCGCAGGGGCCGTCCATCTTGGCATCTCCTGCACGTCGCCGGTCGCAGCAGGAGCCCAGATATTTTCTGCAGAGCCTTAAACCCTAAACCCTAATTAATCCCTAAACCCTAAACCCTACAAACTTTACCCAGGCACGCAGGCGGTACCTCCGACAGGTTCAAGCTTCCAGCCGTGGGCCTGGTTAAGTTTAGGGTGCAAGCCTGAGGCTTTCAAAAGGATTCTCGGGGTTTAGGGTTTAGGGTTTAGGGTTCTTCTTTTCATATCTGAGCCCCTGCGCAATAAACCTGGGCGCGTGCCTAGACAGCGGAGGGATCCCAATACCTCTTAGTTGAGGAGCATGCTATGACTTGAACTCCTTTGTACAAGGAAACCTTAAACCCTTTAAACCCTCAAAACCCTGAAAACCCTGAAAACCCTAACCCCTACACATCATGGTAGAAGGCCTCCTCATCTTAAGGCACGGGGTAGTGGGAACTCGTCTGCGGAGGAGGCGAGTTCTTCAACAACTACGGCTCCAGCCGGACGAACTTGCAACTGCTCTTGGCCCATGGCTTCTGCGTACCCAACAACGCCTGCGACGCGCTACCTGCGGCTGGGTTTAGGGTTTAGGGTTTAGGGTTTAGGGTTTAGGGTTTAGGGTTTAGGCTTTAGGGTTTAGGGTTTAGGGTTTAGGGTTATAGGGTTATAGGGTTTAGGGTTCAGGGTTATAGGGTTATAGGGTTAGGGTTTTTGTTTTATCTTTTTGCGGCCTTTTGTCGTTTAAAGAAGTTGAGGGCACCTTTCGAGGGTGTGACGATGTGTGAAGCATTGGCCGTTGAAACCCGGTTTCATGAAGGGGCAGCTTGGGGTTAAGGGTTTGGAGTTTGGGGTTTAGGGTTTAGGGTCTAGGGTTTAGGGTTTAGGGTTTAGGGTCTAGGTGCTATGAACCATGACAATGGCACAGTTTCCTGAGCTACTTGAGAGTGGCCTTTGGCTGAACTCGGAGTTTCGATTTTAGGGTTCTGGGCAGCCCAGGTGGACCAGCTGCAACCCTGAACCGCCTAAACCTTAGGGTTTAGTAAATCCTAAACCCTAAACTCTAAACCCCCAAAATTCAAGAAGGGTTCCATGGGTTCCTAACGTCCTCTGAGGCGTTCTGAGACCTAGGTACCCTGAACCTTAAGCCCTAAGCCCTAAACCCTAAACCCTAAACCCTAAACCCCGTGGCTTCGTAAAGCTTTCTGAGACCCAGGTGAAAATTCGTACCGACGATGCCCGAAGGCCTCAGCTGCAGCGGCAAGCCCTGGAACTCGCAGGTAGGGTTTAGGGTTTAGGGTTTAGGGTTTAGGGTTTAGGGTTTAGGGTTTAGGGCTTAGGGCTTAGGGCTTAGGGTTTGGGGCTTAGGGTTTAGGGCTTAGGGCTTAGGGTTTAGGGTTTAGGGATTAGGGTTTAGGGGTTAGGGTTTAGGGTTTACGGTTCACGGTTTACAGTTTATGGTTTAGGGTTTAGGGCGTTGTGGGGGACATCCCTTCGTCTCCTAGGAAAGAGTTTACGTAGGTTGGGATGTTCTCCCTTGTACTAACAGTTTACTAGGGATTTGAGTACCCCCCCCCCCCCCCATTATAGTCCCCATTACGCACTGTTTAGTATAAGGGGGAACCTCCCAAAGTTCAGGGTTTGTTTTTTGGTGTAGTGTGTAGAGTGTAGGGTTCAAGGTGTATAGGGATTAGGGTTCAGGGTGAAGAGTTTATAGGGTTCGGGGCGTAGGCTTTGCGGCAACTGGGGCCTGGCCACGCCAGGTCTTCAACCAGCAGAGGTCCACGAGCTTTCGTTGAAGAACTTGCTGCCTCCACGCCTGCTGGCCCTCCTGCGGATCTTGTGCGCCTTGGCCCTTGGGTTCTTCCCTGTGCTGCCCCTTTTTTCAATTTTTGAGGAGACCACACCCTTTCTTCACACGAAATAGACTGATGATGGGTAACGCTGCGTGACTCCCCACTCTCTTCCTTGGGCCCCAAAACTTTGGATGGTGAGGGATGGTGCGTTTGTGGGTTCAAGGTTCTAAGGGGTTGAGGGTCTATAGGAAGAAGGGCGGTCCTCAGCCTAGGTATGCGGCCAGATGGGCTGAAGACGTATGTCAAGCATGGATCCGATCTGCTCTTGAAGCTGCAGTCGCCCGTGCCGCCTACAATCGATTACTGTGAGGAGTGCGAGCTGGAGGTGCGATTGCCCCGTGAGGACTTCAGGATTACACATTGTAAAGAGGTGGAGGAATTGGAGGGGGGCGGGTATTCTAGAACTTGGCATCATATTATATAGCGTGGCTTACTAACTATAATTCAACGTAGATAAAAATCACTTCGGTCATCTCCGCCCTACTACAGGTACCTGATGTGGCAGCCATCATGCCGTTTTCAGGTAGGATCCTTACGGATACTTTGCCGCAGGCTTCTGCCGCGGGACTGTCCGCGGTGGAATGTTTTGAGGGTTGGCACAGGGATACTCGGCGGACTGTTGCAAGCTTCTCTGAAGGTGGGTACTCCAACTCGGCGGACTCTCTCTGCGCTCTGCGGGTTTGTCTTGGGCACATGGCACTCCTGGGATACTCAGCGGGACTGTCTGCGGGTTCCCCGGGAATGGGGGCGGCTGGGCGCTTTGCAGGGATACTCGGCGGGACTCTGCGGGCTTAGCTGGGGGGTGGGCACTTCGAGGTCACAGGGCGGGGACTCTCTGCCCGCTGCTTCAGCGGTGGGCACTCCATGGATACTCTGCAGGCTTCTCTACAGGCACTCCTGGGATGTTCGGCGGGGCGGGACTTTGCCCAGGGCAGAAGACCAGACGGGACACCGGGCGAGGAGGCGAGGAGCATGGTCTTACGTAGCACATTCTCAGCAACTTCAAGTGAAACACTTCCAAAAGGCCCCTATAAGCAGCAGAAGTTTGTGACACTGCGGGGGCAGGCTCGCGCAACCCTCGACATTTGTCACAAACCCTATTCTCCCCAGGGCAGCGAATGTTTAGCCCTAAACTTTGAGCATCGTTCGCCAGAAGCCCACATGAGGGATCATAAAAACCACTTGTATTGAATAAAGAGAAGCGTCCCAGATGACCAGATGTGTGTTCGTCGATAAGAGTAAAAAACAACGATAAACGTTCAGATCAGTATCCATGCTCGATAAAACGATAAGAGTTAAGAACATGCTTGAGGGATATCCCCTAAACCCTAAACCCTAAACCCTAAACCCTAAACCCTAAACCCTATAAACCCTAAACCCTAAACCCTCAGTGAAAGGGGGTTTTCACGCTTCCTCACATGGCTCCAGATGGCTCAAGTGCCAAGCCGGCTTCTTTTTTTTGAGACATGCGCGTGCCAGCGCAACTCCACATGTGCGCGGCACTCTGCGCCACTTTTGCGATCGCTTCAGAGACGGAGGTCTTTGACGTTATCGTGGCAGGAGCTGGCCCGGCCGGCCTTTCAACGGTGAGGCACCTGCTGGCGGCTAATGTGTCAGTGTTGCTATACCCCCTTGGGAACTTTTTGTTTTAATTTTTGTTCATATAAAACCCAAGAGGAGACTTTTAGAAGCTATTTTTGTTAAGGTTCTAAGGGGAGTATAGGTTGTTGCTCGAGAAGTCAGATCGTACTGGCGGTCGCAGCCGGACGTTAAAGTTTGGGAGGCATGGGGTGGATCTTGGCCCAACATGGGTCCACTATGGCACGGGCAATCCGCTGATGCACCTCGCCACGCAGGGCAACTGCAGCATGGTGCGAACAAAAAACTTGAACATGAACGTTTACCATGCTGGGAAAGTGGTGCCTGAACCTGTTGTGTCAAGCATGTTCCAGCTCTTGGAGGAGATCGAAGCAGGTTACAATCGCTGGAAGCGCTCGAGCCTCCAGGATGAGAGCCTGCTGCAGGTATTTCAGCGCGTCTTTCGGCAGAAGGCGCTGCAACTTTCACCCGAGCAGGAAGCGGCCTTCGCAGCCATCCTGTATGGAGAGATTGTTGAGGATTGGACGGCTCCCCTGCAGGAGCTTTCGGCCGGGAAGCACTGCGAGTATGACAGCGTCCTAGTAGTAGAGTAGCTAACCTTTAACCTTTTTGGGGGTAGTAGAACCCTCTTATCGTCCCAAAGGTTAACCTTTAACTCCCCCAGGTTACTGGACAACTAAGGTGTTGATGGTGTTGGCAGCGACTGGCGAGTTAGAGAAGGGATGGAGTGCATCGTTCAGCAGATCCTCGAGGTGGAGCAGAACCAGAACCTGCTCAGAACCTAGGTATCCCCCTGGGAGATGTCTTGTACTTTCCCCCTTCTTGGGTTGAAGGGGCTGATATATCGGAATATTCTTTTTCGAGGCTTCTAAACCCCAAACCCTAAACCCTAAATTTAAGGGGTCATCCGAGGAACCAATCATCACATCAAGTCCATCTCTCACTCGAAAGATTCGGTCTTTATTGGGGGGGACGGATGGCAGGTGGGGACTTACGAAAAAGCGGGGGACCCCCTAAAAATAGACCCCCCTAATCCGTAGGATTCCCGTATAAGAAGGACCCCAAACCCTAAACCCTAAAAGCCTTGGCCCTAAACCCTAAACCCTTGTGAGCGATTAAGCCCCAAGTACCCCCCCCCTCGTCCTCGTTTCGGACACCCCGCAGGTTGCCGGCCGGGTGGCAGTTCTGGCCCTCCCATTCGGGGAGTTGCGAGGCTGGGAACAATTGGGATTCTGTTTGTGTTTTCCCTCTAGTATGTTTAAGAGGATCGTGTTGAGGAATATTTTGCAGAGGGACCCTCGACCCTAAACCCCAAACCCTAAACCCTAAAGCCTGAACCCTATGCAAGTGTTGAGAAGGGCCGCGTCAGGCGATGATCCCTTGAACGAAGGATGTTTCTACTGGTTGGATGGTTTGGGTTTTTGTGGGGGTGTTGAACTGTTTACCATATCCCTTCAGTTTCTAAGGGGACTATTTTAATTAAGGTTCTAAGGGGAGTATAGTTTAAGGATCGACTGATCGGAATCATGTTCTCCCTCCCAGGAGAGTCAGACTCAAACCCTGCCTGCGGTTCGGCCAGCTGTGCGGGAGCGAAAAGAGAAAACCTAAACCCCGAAACCCCGAAACCCCGAAACCCCGAAACCCCCAAACCCCCAAACCCCCAAACCCCAAACCCCAAACCCCAAACCCCAAACCCTAAACCCTAAACCCTAGACCCTAGACCCTAAACCCTAAACCCTAAACCACAAAAAAAGTGGCCATCCGAGGAGAGGGCATGGTGAAGGTGGACCCGCTTCCGGATTGGAAGGCAGAGGCCTGGAGGGATCTGGGCCTAGGCCGTGCAATCCGAGTTGCCCTGGAGTTCGAGAGGCACTTCTGGCCCAAGGATGTGGAGTTCCTTAGTAGTAGAGTAGGGCAACCTTTAGCCTCTTTTTGGGGTATTCTGATCCCTGTAAAAATGTCAAAGGCTAACCTTGTCATTCCCCCAGGTTACTGGACAGCTCAGGTTCTTTATGGATTTTATTCCGAACTGCACCAGGAACTTTCTGGAGGACATCGACTTGTGTTCGATTGAGTTCACGGCCCCTGTTTCCGGGACATATCCGCCTGCCCTGGTTGCGGAAGCGGATGGGCGCTTGGCCGAGCGTCTCACGAATCAGTCCGACGAGGTGGTGGTCGATTTCCTGCTGGGCCGCTTGACAGAGATGTTTGGGGACATCTCACTCCCAGACCTCCTCACGGCACATGTCTTGAGGCCATGGGGTTTGCCCTTCTTTGCCAAAAACTCCAGTGGAAGGGGGGCAGCACGCCTGGCCGGAAAGCCCATGGGTCGACTCTTCTTTGCAGGAGACTACGTGTCCCACAACGTCGGAACCGTTGCGGGCGCATTTCTATCGGGAATCGCGGCGGCTCATGACGTTTCCTGCGAGCTGAAGGGTCAAGGACTGAGATTTGAAGAGCTTCCTGCTCTTGCTCCGATGATTGACGAGGCTTGTGCTGAGAAGAAGATAGCCCTGCATGGCCGGTGCAAGGTGACACTGTGGGACGTGCTGTACGCCTGCTCTGCCCTGCATCGCCTGGAGGATGAGTCTGGCAGGAGCTGCTTTGTGCAGGGGAGGGATCGCTGGCATGAAGCATCTGCTTGGTGGTGGATCGGGCGCTGGCGCGGCAGCGTGATGAGATCTGCCGAACATCTGCACAAGCTCGCGCAGTCGTTCCTCAGGCGGTTTCATGACAGCACGCCCGGTGCCATTCGGACTGAGTTTTGATGTCTGCCGAGAATGCGACCTCTTCACCAGGCACCAGGAAAGTGACTCTGCTGCGATGCCCCCGTCTTGCATCACATTCTTGTCGCAAAATACAATGGCAACCAGCCTGCACCCAACCCCGAGCCCTCAACCCCCAAACAATCCACAGAACTCCACAACTTTGCCCCAAACCCCTAAACCCCTAAACCCCTAAACCCTGAACCCTAAACCCTAGACCCTAGATCCTAAACCCTAAACCCTAAACCCTGAACCCTGAACCCTGAACCCTAAACTGGCTTGTCCGAGTGTGATGGGAAGTCAAGGGTCCTGTTTGCTTCTTGTGGGGGCCCCGAGCCCGCTCAACATCATCCTCTTGCCCTATAGAGCCCTGTAAGTCCTACCAGGTGAGGGGTTCGGGGTTTAGGGTTTGGGCTTAAGGTTTAGGGGTTAGGGGTTAGGGTCGTGTTGAGGGTTTTTTGGTTTAGGGTCCAGGGGGGAACACCCAAGCTCGTGGCAAACAGGGAGGCCCTAAACCCTAAACCCTAGCCAAACCCTAAACCCTATAACCCTATAACCCTATAACCCTATAACCCTATAACCCTATAACCCTATAACCCTAAACCCTAAACCCTACCTAGGTAAGTAGAAACCCCAAGCCGACGTGCCGGAGGCGCTGTCCACCTTAGAGGGCCAGCTGCTGACCCAGCAGACGCTTTGCTTGCAGACTTGACATAGCAGATATATATATGTATATATATATATATGTATCTATCGTCGATATATATATGTATATATAATACATGTATTATACACATATTGCTGTATGCATATATATATATATATAGAGAGAGAGAGGTATTTCGGGGTAATATACCCCAGTAAAATCCATATTTTAGGAACCCCCAAAAGGGTACCCCAGTTGCGGAAACCCCCATATCTGTACGCATGTATGTATGGATGTATCTTTGTGTATGTAGAGATGAATATACATATATATATGTATACATAGGTCATATTAATATTCATACTATATCGGATGTCCATCTGTTTACGGTCTAGGGCCCGTAGCACCCAAGCATGCGACAAGCCCGGTGCAACCACTGTCCCCACGACCCGAGCTTGGATCGAAAGTAGGTTTCGAGTCCCCGTGCCTCGACTGTGTGAACCCCTTCGCTACTTTCCCAAACAGCCGAAGCAAGACCACCCTACAGGTCTTAGGGGCAGTGGGCGCGAGAGTCCACCTACATACTGCAGTCGTCCCCTCCCCTTCCCCACCAAGCCCCCTAAACCCAAGATCCCATGCACGCTTTCTTGGCGGAGGGTCGATATTCGTATATGAATATGCGAATAGAATATACTCATACACAAATATACAAATATACCAATATACCAATATACATACGGATATACTTATTTACCAATATACTACTAGACTCATACTAGTCCAATATACTCATATACGAATATACTTTTTGTACTATATACACTAGGTGTGCTACAGGGGGGCCCCTCAGCCCCACAAAGCCAAGAATGTAACATACCCCCGAAACCCTAAACACTAATACACTAGTAGCGCTGTAGGGGGGGCCCCTCAGCCCTACAAAGCCAAGGAGCCGCATCCCTCCGCCGGACCTATCGGCGCCCTCTGCCCCGGAGCGGCACGCGGCCGTGTACCGGGCGGGGCAGCTGGCCATCATCTCGGAGGCTCCTGGGGTTTAGGATTTAGGGTTTAGGGTTTAGTTTAGGGTTTAGGGTTTCGGGTAGATTTACAGGGGTTTTGCATGTTGGGGTCTTTGCCGCGGGAGCTTCCGAAGCTCCTAAATCCTCCCGAAAACCCCCAAACCTTAAGCCCCAGCTCATATCGTCCCTGCGTTGTGGATTCGCCCCAGCTGTGCAGGAGTGCAAGACAAAGACCTCATCAGCCCCACACTCCCAGCCTTAAGCACCCTTGCATCTTGAGTCCCTGAGACGGGGAAGCATTTTAAGTCCCAGGCGCTGAAGGAGCTCCGAAGAAGAAGGCAGCTCTTCTGCTCGGAGAACTCTCTCCTGGAGGAGAGCCCTTCGCAGAACTTGATTCCTACTTGGAGGTTCATGGGTACAGTACTTTCAATTACTGTTTCAAGTAGGGTAGCTATGGTTATGAGTGCCCATGAACCTTCAAGTATGTGCAAGTGCGTAAGATTTATCAAGTTGGTGCTGGCCCGCAGAAGCCCGTCAGAGAATGTACCGGACACCCTGAACACAACAATTCCGAGTCGTGAGAGAAGAACACTAAGCCCAAACGCCTGGCTACTGCAGGGCTTTCCTCGCCCAAACCCTAACCCTAAAACCTATAGCCCTTAGCCGGTTTTCGTGGCGGCTGAGGCGGGAGGTTAACCCTAAACCCTATAAACCCTAAGCCCTAAACCCTACCTAAACCCTAAACCCTAAACCCTAAACCCTAAACCCTAAACCCTAAACCCTAAACCCTAAACCCTAAACCCTAAACCCTAAACCCTAAACCCTAAACCCTAAACCCTAACCCTAATTGGGAGGGTTTTAGGGGTGCAGGAAGAAGAAGAGGAAGAGGAGGAGGGCGACTCTGTGGCTTCAGAGGAAGACGCAGACGATGCTTCGACTTGAAAAGAGGCTTAGGGTTTAGGGTTTAGGGTTTTATGGTTTTAGGTTTAGGGTTTAGGGTTTAGGTTTTAATGTTTAGGGTTTTATGGTTTTAGGGATTGTGGGGCTTTAGGGGGTTGAGGGTTTTAGGATTGGGCCATTTTGGCTCAAGCCATTTCTGCGAGGCCGACGAGGCAACTCTCTGACCTGTATAGCAATTCGTGTTGCATTGACGCGGGCACAGCTGATTTCATGCATTGGCTACTCCCTTCGACTTTCCAAGCGGGTGGAATGTGCAGATGGGCATCGTCACTTGAGTGCGTCCCTTTATGCTGTGCGCTCACTGCAATGATGTTCTTCAGATGAAACCTTGCAAGCATCGAGTGGCGCAGCAATCTACCTTCTGGATGCACTTGGGCATAGGGATGATGCCACCTGACGAACACCAAAAATCACAAGATTGGAGCCGATCAGAGTCTGCGGATTCGGAGGATTCACGTTTAACTGCCACGACGGGTGCAGCCTCTGGAGCTGAGGCGCTCGAAGATGCGGCAGTGCATGTTGGGGAAGGTGCCCGAAGTGAGATCGGCGCGTGCTCGGAACCACACGGCTTGCGCGGAGACACTTGGCGATGGCCGCCAACCGTGACGAGGAGATAGCTGGGCTGCGCTTGCTTCGTGATTCGTTGCGTCTACAACTCAGGAGTCTCGCCCACCCGGAAGAAAGGTCATGGCTGGTCCAAGTCTATCTTGTAGTATGTGATGAGTTCCGACAACGCTCATTGCGACTTTCATGCCTGGGATCTAGCCGTGAACCACAGACGCTCCCTGCCTTTCTTTCCTGATTCTAGCAAAGGTGCACGGCTTTTGTTTGGATCTCGCCTGCGAAAATCGCATGGCACCACAATTCGCGAGGCTTTCTTTTTAGGGGTACCCGGCAGTATTCGCAGAGGCCTGGATGCAAAAAAGGATTTAGGGTTTCAGGGTTTTAAGGTTTCAGGGCTTTAGGGTTTGAGGGTGTCATGGTTTTAGGGTTTTATCAAGGGAGTTCTACTCGGACCCGTAAGGATGTGCCGCTAAGAGGTTCCCTTAATTGGCTCCGAAGATGGCCCTTATGCTCCCTTAGAGGATCTCTAGAAATCCCCAAACCCAAGGGTGCAACCTTCGAAGTCCAAGGTAGAGTCCCATGATTCTAGGGTTTTAGGGCTTAGGGGGGTTTTGGGTGGGGACCCAAACGCAGCCCCTATGTTTGGGCCTGAGCCTCTTGCTCGCCTTGAGGGTAGGGCTTTGGGGGGGGCTTAGGGTGCACAGGGTTAAACTGCTAAGGACCTGGGGCGTATGGGTAAAGTGGAGAAAGGGTCACGTTATGAGATTCCTAACCCCTAAACCCTAAACCCTAAACCCTAAACCCTAAACCCTAAACCCTAAACCCTAAACCCTAAACCCTAAACCCTAAACCCTAAACCCTAAACCCTAAACCCTAAACCCTAAACCCTAAACCCTAAACCCTAAACCCTAACCCATAAACCCTAAACCCTAAACCCTAAACCCTAAACCCTAAACCCTAAACCCTAAACCCTAAACCCTAAACCCTAAACCCTAAACCCTAAACCCTAAACCCTAAACCCTAAACCCTAAACCCTAAACCCTAAACCCTAACCCTAAACCCTAAACCCCAAACCCTACCCTAAACCCTAAACCCTTTAGAACAATGTGTCTGAGGGTTCCAGCAGCCAGCAGGAGCCCACAGTGCCGAAGTCGAAGCGCCCACGGATGAGGTGATGATTCGGGCGAGCGCGGGACGAAAAGGGCAAGCAGGGTTGAGGCCTTAAACTTTAGGGTTTAGGGTTTAGGGTTCAGGGTTTAGGGTTTAGGGTTTAGGGTTTAGGGTTTAGGGTTGACCTGGCATGAAGCAGCTTCCAGGATCAAAAGGGGCTCAGCCCTGAACCCGAAACCCCAAGCCCTAAACCCTAGGTTGAAGAGACTGCGCCGAGTTTGAATTATATTGCTTCGAACATCCCTACCCTCTGTTGGTAGAGATACTCTGGGGTTGGGCACTTCAGGGACATTCTAGGGCTGGGCACTCTGGGGACAGTTTGGGCGAGGAGAAGAGTTGAGCTTAAAAGCTAACAACCCCACACCGAGGGTGGGGAATAAGCCCTTGGTTGAATTGAAGGCCGGGGGCCGGACCTGGTTTCTTCACACTCACCAATTCAGGTGCAACCATCCTACACCCGACACCCTAAACGCTAAACCCTAAACCGTGGCCCAACAACGACCCTTGAGGCTTTAGGGTTATAGGTTTAACGCAACAACTTTCGTAGCTGAGACTGTGTTCAGGGTTGTGAGAAGATTTTTGAAAGCCAAGCTTAAGTCGCTATGTCAAGTGAGGGCATAAATTGCTTCTCCCGCATGAGTCATTGAAGTCTATGATCCATCCATGCTCGAAAGGCTTGGGGCATTGCGCTTGCAAAGCTCTATTTTCTGATGCGGGTAGCCCACACCCTCTTTTTTTTGGGGCTGATTTTCCTGATGTGTATCGCATGCATTTTCGTCTTCTTTTTTGTTTGGTGTAGGGCCCATGCCGTTGATCAATCCCACTTCAAGGTACACAGTGGAGTACGCATTGTGGTGCTACGTCAAGCGGCTAAAGGTTCTGCGGGACAGCATGCTAGTGCTCCTTGGCTGCACGTCTGGTGGTTTTTGGGGGGTTGGGGTGGTTGATGACAGGTTCCTGAACTGCAACGAAAGATTCTATCTCTACATGATGGCCGCTCCTCAGATCTGACAAGAAGAACCCTGAAGTTGCTTCTGTACAGTTATATAGGCTGCCTGGGAGGAAGAGCGGGGGTGGGAGAGGGGGGGAGGGCACCCCATCAGGAGATGACTCCAGAACAGGTCTGCGCGTAGAGAGGAGCATGTTTTTTTTTGCGCTCTTTTTTGGGAGCCCTGGTGTGGTCCGCGGGTGGCCGAAGAACCCTAAACCCTAAACCCTAAACCCTAAACCCTAAACCCTAAACCCTAAACCCTAAACCCTAAACCCTAAACCCTAAACCAAAGGATCGACCTGTTCATCCTCATATGTGGCTTTGCCGCTCGCCCAAGCATAGCTCTGGAGTGCAGAAGGGGGGCTTCGGGCTAGGGGTTTGGGGTTTGGAGTTTGGGGTTTGGGGTTTAGGGGTTTAGGGTTTAGGGGGTTGCTTGCTAGAGCACCTTTTGGGCGCTGTCATGTTCAGATCATGTGTGCGTGTAGATCCGCAATTGAGGGTGTAAGGAATTATTACTAGGATGCCCAGTAGTACCCTGATTCCCTTTTTGGGGGGTTTAGGTTCCCTTATAAACCCCTTTAAGCTCAAAAGGGTACCCTTTTTCAGCCTAGGTTACTGGGCAGCCTAGATTCAGAAGCTGTGTAACTGCTACTGTGACAACTTGCCGGCAAAGCGAGAACACCAGATTCAAGCACTTCTCTCTGAATCCCCCACAACCCTAAACCTTAGGGTTTAGGGTTTGGGGTTTGGGGTTTGGGGTTTGGGGTTTGGGGTTTAGAGCAACCCAGATAGCTTCAAGAGACTCCGATGCAAGGGTTAATCGGTGCGGTTCAAGCCTTCGGAAGCCTGGTCATGCATGATTCGGCCGCTGTGGGCCTAAACCACCAGCATTGGAGAATCTTAGTGTTGGACCTGCCACCTGCTATTCTTACGTAGTAAAGCAGACCCCCAAAAAAAGTCGCACGCTTCAAGCTGGCAAGCCTGACTTTCTAAAGGGGCCCAATGAATGCAGCTCCAACATAACACACCTTATTGGGGTTCTTGCTATAAGGGATCCTGCTATTTGGGGGGGGGGGGGGTATGTTGGGGGTCCCCTATTTTCGTAAACCCCACATCCCGAAGTCCTACACCTCCGTTGCACTACCTTACTCAGCCCTTTGTCATAGTGGGGTACCATTTTGCATTTTACGGGCACTAAAACCCAACAAGGAAGAGAAATTTGTATTTTTAATCCTATCCCAAATGATCTAGTTGACACCAAGCCTTTTTCCTTGGAAAGGCCGAGCTCATCATGTCAACAGACGGCGGCAACATTGTAGCAACCCTGCTGGGTTTAGCTCCGAGCAGGGGGCTTTGGAGTTCTTTGGGCGGACTTCCCATACCCGTTGCCTAAGGGAAGGAAGAGAAGAAGCCCTTTTTAAGCTACAGCTTAAGGTATCTTCCTTAGTTGAGTTTAGTTATAGACTGGACGTAGTTTAAGGCATCTTCCTCGATTGAGGTGCTCTGGGTTCAGGGTTCTATAGGGTCTATAGGGTTGGGACAGTTCCAGCCCCAGCGAGCTTCGTTGAATTTATTGTAGCTACAGGGCCCACGTAAACAAAATCAAGCACCGGATTTTCTGGTACCTCACATGGGCCAGTAGTTAGGGCTCCTTAAGGGGGAACCTTATGGGGTGAGGGGGACCCTAAACCCCAAACCCTAAATGCCCTAAACCCTAAGCCTGAGCGAAATACTGCCCTCTGCCCAGTTGGAGAACTTCAGCCTGCTCCGGATCCTCCGAATTGCTCGGATCATGCGCCGCTCTGCCTGCACTTGCGGGGTGTTTTAGGGTTTTACGACCTGTTGACGCCTACCCCTTGGCTGTCGGTGGGCCCCGATGTGGAAGGTCATGGACACCTGATCGAGACGATGCACCACGCACGCGCGCACGAAGAGCATCTTGTAGCCATCAAAGGTGACCGCTAGGTCGTAAAATTTTTCCACTTCCACCACTACTGTGTGTGTGTGTGTGTGTGTGTGTGTGTGTGTGTGTGTGTGTGTGTGTGTGTGTGTGTGTGTGTGTGTGTTTTGCTACCGTAGAGAAGCGCTGCAACCAATTGATACAACACACATGAATTGGTACCCAAAACGCACATGGCGAGCACAGGCAACGGCCCCACGCGTACGGACAATACTGACGAGCAGGGTTTTAGGGTTTTAGGGTTTTAGGGTTTAGGGTTATTTAGGGTTTAGGGTTTGATTGAGCCCTAAGCCTGAGCGAAATAAGGGTTTGGGGTTCAGGGTTTGGGCTGGGCCCCGCTCGCTGAGCGAGTCCGGTGGCAAACAAGGGGTTATGGTGGGATGAGGGTTTTGGAAGCATGGGAGACGTGGGGGGGGAACCCGTGTTTTTTTTTTGTTGTGGGTGCTTTTTTGCTGTGGGTGCTTTTTTCGGGGGCCGCCCCGGTGAGTGAGTGACCTGGTGCGTGTCGCCCCCGCAACCGCAGCAAAAAAAAAAAACGCGCCCCCGCACCCCAGCAAAAAAAAACGCGCCCCCGCACCGCAGCAAAAAAAAAAACCGCCCCCCCCCCCTCCCCCCCCCCCTCCCCCCCCCCTCCCCCCCCCCCCCCTCCCCCCCCCTCCCTCCCCCCCCCCCCCCCTCCCCCCCCCCCCTCCCCCCCCCCCCCCTCCCCCCCCCCCCCCCCTCCCCCCCCCCCGATAATTAATGACCTGGCGCCCCCCCAGCAAAAAACAATGCGCCCCCCACCGCAGCAAAAAAAAACCCCCCCCCCCCCCCCCCCTCCCCCCCCCCCCCCCTTCCTCCCCACCCCCCGGTGAGTGAGTGACCTGGCGCTTGTCGCCCCCCACACCCGCAGCAAAAAAAAAAAAACGCGCCCCCGCACCCCGCAGCAAAAAAAAAAAACGCACCCCCGCACAACGCAGCAAAACAGAAAACCCCCCCCCCCACTTTTCTCCCCACCCCCCAGGTCATTTGTTTTGCAATTTCCTCCCCAACCCCGTCCCCAACGCCCCTAAACTGTGCAAGCGTTTTCAAAGCACTGAATCCTTCCCAAGGCCATCATGCGAGCATTGTGTTTGCAAACGGTGGAGGGAGGGCTGCACCTCGCCCGACCCCCCCCCTCTTTAAAACCGTGCCAGGTCGCTTCTCAGCATATGAATCCTGTCCAAGCCTGTCATGCCGGCATTGGGTTTGCAAATAGGGGGGGGCTGCGCCCCCCAACCCCCCCGCTTCTTAAAACCATGCCGCTTGCTTCAAAGCAAATGAATCCTTTCCGAACCCATCATGAGAGCATTCCCCCCTGCTTGAAAGGGGGGGGGGGGGGTGGGGCTGCGCTTTTTAGCCGGGCAAACTTGCTTCCATCATACGAATCCCTTCCAAACCCATGATGATGCGAGCATTGTGTTTGCAAATGGGGGGGGGGCTGCGCCCCCCCCAACCCCCCCGCTGTTTTTAGCCGGCAAGCCTGCTTCAAAGCTTACGAATCCCTTCCAAACCCATGATGCGAGCATTGTGTTTTCAAATGCGGCGGTCTGCGCAGCCACCAACCCCCTGAAGAAAGAAGGAATATATGCTTGCTTTCCTACGAAAATTCAGACCTTATGGTGGAAGTTGAATTTTCCGTTTAACAATAGAGATATAAACGTCTTCTTAGTAAAGAATCGAGAAAATAGAGCTTGTGTTATGAGACATGAACAAAAACACTTGTTGTCTACGAGTCACAAATAGAGATAATGCATGTACTCTTATGACAATATAGAGAATTAGTTTTTCATGTATTCCTCTCTCATGTCTTCCTCGTGAAATAAAGAGAAGAAGTCTGAGAATACTGACAAAATAAGAAACTATAGAACAATAGAGGTTCTCGCTATACAATATAGAGAAATTAGATGCTTCCTATGACAACATAGAGGAAATAGAGGCTTTCATACGAAAATATAGCGAAAATACAAAGTGTTTTCATATTAAAATGTAGAGGTCTTGATATTCAAATATAGAGAATAGAGGTTTTCATGTTCAAATGTTAAGACAATGGAGGTTCGCCTATTCAGAGACAGAGAAAATAATGGGCTTCCTATTAAAATTGGGACAAGAGGAACAAAACACTTTTAATTGCAAGTCACATATTGAGATAACACAGAGAATAAGTTTCTCATGTATTCCTCTCTCATGTCTTCCTCATTAAATATAGAGGAAAACTATGACGATATAGACAAAAATAGAGAGAAATAGAGGTTTTAGTTATAAAATAGAGAGAAATAGAGGTTTTCGAATTGAAGTATAGAGAAATTAGAAAAACTAGAGGTTTTCATGCTAAATGTAGAGAAAATAGAGGTTTTCATATTCAAATATAGAGAAGAAAGAGGTTTTCCTATTCAAATATAGAGGAGAAAGAGGTTTTCCTATTGAAAATTAGAGAAAATAAAGGTTTTCATAGTAAAATATAGAGAAAACAGCAAAAACGCTCCGCACCCGCAGCAAAAAAAAAAGGCGCCCCCACGGCACCCGCAACAAAAAAAAAACGCGCCCCCGCACCCGCAGCAAAAAAAAAACGCGCCCCCCGCACCCGCAGCAAAAAAAAAACGCGCCCCCGCACCCGCAGCAAAAAAAAAACGCGCCCCCGCACCCACAGCAAAAAAGCACCCGCAACAAAAAAAAAACACTCTTACCGACGTGGGGGACTTCTGTTTTCGAACCTAAACCCAAGGCACTTTCTCGTTTGCTAGCCTGGAGCAGTTTTAGCCCATATTCTCCCTATACAATCCGTATATATCCCGAAACCCTAAACCTGTGCTAATTGAATGGGCCCCTTGCAATGAAGCCTAAGAGAAGACTTGTGCTATAGCATTCCCAGGCATTTTTTGTTCATATTTAATCTGAAACCAAAACAGAAATAGCAACATGCACAACGCATAGAATCATTGTCGTCCTATGCGGTTTAATCGTGTTCTCCATGGGTTTGCCAGATTTGCCAGAAGCCGCACCCTTTGAAGGCCTGCTGAAACTTTTCCGACGGTTCAGCTACTTGAAGGAGCCACTTGGACAGACGAGCGGCCCAGGTGGAACAAGAGACCCTGAACCCTAAACCCTAAACCCCAAACCCTAAACCCTAAACCCTAATCCCCAAACCCCAAACCCCAAACCCCAAACCCCAAACCCTAAACCCTAAACCGTTATTGGGTGTTGTGGTCGGTCAAGGGCAGAAGGAACCCTAGAACCCAGACACCAAGGCCTTGCCAACAAAAAACACGCCTCTTAAGTGTTGACAGCTCAACCTCGGGATGCTCCCCCCTTGGGTTTAGGGTTTAGGGTTTAGGGTTTAGGGTTTAGGGTTTAGGGTTTAGGGTTTAGGGTTTAGGGTTTATGGTAGCTGAGTGATCACACTTTACACGTTTTGGGAGACTAGAATCCCCTATAGAACTGAAAGTGTACACTTTTGGGGGGCTTATGAACTCAGCAACTAAGTATACTAACAGTCCTGAAGCTGAGCTGCACTTTCGATTTTTTGGGTAAACCCTAAACCCTAAACCCTAAACCCTAAACCCTAAACCCTAAACCCTAAACCCTAAACCCTAAACCCTAAACCCTAAACCCTAAACCCTAAACCCTAAACCCTAAACCCTAAACCCTTAACCCTTAACCCTTAACCCTTAACCCTTAACCCTTAACCCTTAACCCTTAACCCTAAACCCTAAACCCTAAACCCGCCCGCCACCCCTCTCACCTCTGTTGGGGTAGGCGGGCGCAGTCGAGCGCTCAGCGAGACCGCGGCAGGCTCTGCTAGGCTGCAGAGCCTGCCAGGCACACCCCTGAGGAGTCGCCTGGCTGGAGTCGCCTAGCTCGTCTCAGCTATATATTATTACCCTAAACCCCAGGGGGGGGGCTCCTTCCCCTTTAAAACAGGTTCGTGGACGCCCCTGTCTGAAAGCCCTGGAAGCCCCTGGACTGGAGGCCCCTGGAGGCCCCTTGAAGCTGCTGGAAAGGCCTGAAGCCCCTTCTCACCTCTGCAGTAGCCCTGGAGGCACCTGGAAGCCCTGGAATGGTCCCTGCCGTGGCCCCTTGGAGGCCCCGGAGCCCCTTGGAGGCCCCTGGAGGCCCCTGAAGGCCCCTGAAGCTCCTCCCGGACAGAAACTAAAAGGCTCCTCCCGGACAGTTTCTGCGCCTTTTTGAGCTCTTTCCGGACAGTTTCTGAGCCTTTCTTGGGCTCATCCCCGGACAGTTTCAGAGCCTTGTTGGGCTCCTCCCGGACAGTTTCTGAGACAGTTTCTGAACCTTTTAGTTTCCGGGCTCCTTCCGGACAGTTTCTGTGGACAGTTTCTGAGCCTTGTTGGGGTCCTCCCGGACAGTTTCTGGGCACTCTTCCCAGTAAGCAGGGGGGCCTTAAACCCTTCCAGGACTCTTCACGCCCTGGAATTTTCTGTGAGAGGGCCCTTCGGCCCAGACCGTCCCCTGCGCAAAACCTGAGGGGGGGGCTCCTTTGCCGTCAAGGGACATGCTTGGCACCCCCTCAAAGTCGCATATGTCCCAGGCTCGACATGCTGCCGTCTGGCCCCAGATGACCTCCGATTTCCTAATGTCCCAATCAGCCACTGTCCCCAAGTGACCCCCCAAGAAATCGCCAACAGCTCGCCTCAAGTTCGGCAAGAGTTCACGACTCGCAAATGTCCCAAGCATTCGCAGTGTTCTATCTTAGTGTGCTCTGAACATGTTCGATATGTGAAATTTGACTGGCTGGCTTGGCTTCGGCTGGCTCCGGTTTGGTTTCGTGATGAGTATTGTTTGGGTGGCCTCGGGGTGGGCATGTCTTCACACTTTTGCGTTCAGCTGACCAATGCTACACCCTAAACCCTAAACCCTAAACCCTAAACCCTAAACCCTAAACCCTAAACCCTAAACCCTAAACCCTAAACCCTAAACCCTAAACCCTAAACCCTCAGCAACTGAGGCTCCGCAAGTTGCTGTCCATGGCCACATCCTGCATGCGGACGCTGTGCTGGTCCTTCCTCTTCTGCTTCATGGTCATGAGCCTTGGTAGGGCATATTTTTTGGGGCTTGTATGGATTTAGGACTAGGGTTTAGGGTTTAGGGTTTAGGGTTTAGGGTTTAGGGTTTAGGGTTTAGGGTTTAGGGTTTAGGGTTTAGGGTTTAGGGTTTAGGGTTTGGGGCTTCATTGTCATGAGCCTTGGTAGGGTATTCTTAGGGGTTTGTATGGATTCAGGGTTTAGGGTTTAGGGCTTCATGGTCATGAGCCTTGGCAGGGTACATACTGGCTGGTGCTTAGTGGGGAATGAGAGAATTCGGGCTCATAGAATCCAGGGTATATATAGGGCCCCCCATTCCCTCATTCCCTACTAAGAACCAGGGGGTTGAAGGGGTTTGTATGGATTTAGGGTTTAGGGTTTAGGGTTTAGGGGTTCAGGGTATTTAAATGTAGGGAATTTAGATTTAGGGTTTGTATGGATTTAGGGCGCCCAGGGTTACGACACCCCAATAAGTGACTTATGAAACAGGACCGCCGGTTACTTCGATCCAATGAGTCCTAAACCCTGAGCGCTAAACCTTAAACTCTAAACCCTAAACCCTAAACCCTAAACCCTAAACTCTAAACCCTAAACCCCAAAACCCTAAACCCTAAGCCCTAAGCCCTAAGCCCTAAGGGTTTGAGTTTAGGGTTTTGGGGCTTCGGGCACTCGACGTAGGCGCACCCGGCAGGTGCGAGGGGGTTTTTGGGGGTTATGGTTTAGGATTGGGAAGTTCCCCTTCATACTAGCAGTCCTTAATGGGAATTATAGTACCCCCCCCCCCCCATTTACAACCCCTCTTAAGGACTGTTACAGTTCACGACAGGGAATATATAGGAGTCGGAATAATTGCTAAGATGCTTCCTGCTTAAATTACACTAGAGTAACACCCCAAAACCGTATTCTAGTAATTCAGGCCCCTATAATAGCTGTGTCGCCACTCTTCCTCGAAAGACTTGACAGCAATTCAGCTTGCTGAGTCGTAGCAGTGAACTCGGGAATTAAGTGCTTTCGATTATCCCTTAGAGGGATGAGGAAGACATAGGGTTTTGGACAGCTGAAAATTAGGTAGGAAGATGTAAAGTACCTAGTTCCCTGTTTCCCGACAACTAGGAAGTTAAGGAAGGTTTTGGCGCCCCCATGGTTTGGGAGAGCTGCGTTCCTGCAGGAATCATACGAAAAGAACAAAAAACAACAGCAAAAACAACTTTCAGGCGAAAGCCCTGATTCCCAGGACCATTTGGGCGATGCTCATGGTGGATCTCGTGCAACCGCCGCTTGCTAGAGCCAGAGGGAAAGGGAGAGGGAGAGGGAAAGGTAAAAGGAAAAGGAAATGGAGGAGAAGAAGAAGACTAATTAGAAGAAACATAACATGGAGGGAGCCCCAACCTGGTCACCACCGGCCCCTGTTTTTCCCCACCCGAAGCGGGCCCAGCTTCAGCAGAAGCATCGGTCATCATCGGATTGAGAGACCAGTGCTTCGAGAATTGCGGATTGGGGCCTAAAGGTGTCGTGCCCGTGGACAAGAGACAAGAGACTGGTTTCAAATGAACAAGGCAGTTGGGGCGTCCTGGAAGGTTTGGGTATGCGCGCTCTTGTTTTTCCAAGATCAAAGAAGGACATGTGTAGAGTTTTGTACTTCAATCCGTCAGACTAAACATCGCCTCATCATCAAGCTGGTTGTTTGGCGGTCAGCAAGTGCAGCTTGGTTTAGGGCTTAGGGTTGAGGGTTTAGGGTTTAGGGTACATCGTTTCACAGAGCTGATGGGTACTTGTTGGACTTCACGGGATGTGGCTGAGCGTGAGTCGTCATCCCTACACCCAAAACACGAGGCCAGTACTCTTCCCACTTTGTCTGAGGTGTTCCGAGTGCTCGGCATTTGACCCAAGATCTCCCTAACCCTAAACCCTAAACCCTAAGCCCTAAGCCCGAAGCCCGAAGCCCGAAGCCCGAAGCCCTAAGCCCTAAACCCTAAGCCCTAAGCCCGAAGCCCTAAGCCCTAAGCCCTAAACTAACGCTTCAGGCTGATCTTGGAGCTGGGGAAGGCTGGCGAGTTCAACGACTGCGAGCAATGCCTGCGCGCGGCAGCATCAGCTGGCTGCTCAGGGGGCCTAGCATGGGTAGGGTTGGGGTGTTAGGGTTTAGGGTTTAGGGTTTAGGGTTTAGGGTTTAGGGTTTAGGGTTTAGGGTTTAGGGTTTAGGGTTTAGGGTTTAGGGTTTAGGGTTTGGGAGGGTTTAGGGTTCGGGATCTGATGCAATGCAAGAAAGGGCATAGGGCCAGAGGGTGAGTTTCGGGTGGCTGCAAGCTTCTGTAGGGTGCTTTTGCACCCCATCGAGCTTTCAACCCAAGTCGCAGGCTGATTTAGAACAATATTCAAAGTTCTATCGGCCTCACAATCCCTACACCACCCCGTTTTGTATCGTTTTGTTGAATTAGCAGGGCCCCAAGATCCCGAAGTCAGAGGTGATGAATGCGAACCTTCTGCTGTTCAAGAGCCTTCGCTGCATTTGAGAGGGTCCTGCCCAAGATTTGCGAAGCGCAAAAGAGGCATTGTTTATACGGGTTGGTGGTCTTTTGAAGTAGGGCTTCTGTTTTATGGGGGCATATACGGGGTTCTCATATAGGGTATCTAGGGCCTAGCTACATCAAGGTACAAGGGTAACAGATAAAGAGGCCACCGGTCTTTATACAACCGGCCAAGAGCTTAAAACTTAATCCAGAGGCTCCATGCAAGGATGACTATCCGAACCGGGCTTGCCAACAACTCCATATCGAAACCCCGAAGCTACTGTCACGCTCCATTCTATGCGGGCTACGTGGTCTACTGGGTGCGGGTGTAAAGTTCCCTTTGCCCCGTGCGTCAGCCCAAGGACAGTTATCGCTGGCGACGGCTGGGGCAAAATCGCCGTTCCGGTGATTGAGGCACTTGCAAGCCCGTTATTGGAGGAACTTCTGTTATTGGAGGAACTTCTCTGGTTCAGGGTTTCAGGTAGTCATGGCTTTGGGTTGTATGTTGGAAGACGAGGCCTGCCCTCGATGCGCCTAGGCGATTGCCGATGTTCCTGTGCATGAGGCTTTTGGTATCAGGAGTATTCTATAAACTCCGCAGTGGAATCCCTTGAAGCCTCGAGCCCTCGACTCAGAAGATCTAGGCAGGCTCGTTGCCTGGAACCCGGAGCGCCCCAAGGCCCATCCAGTAAGCAATCTACCTTAAACTATATCAGTGTCGTTCTTAGGAATGGAGGCGTGTTCCTGAATGAAGGGGTACTGGGTTCTCTGGGCAACCAAGCATAAACAAATCCCAGCAAGGCCTATCCTGCCACTGCTGTCATCTTCGTGGGCTCGTTGCTCACGCTGGTCTTTGGGGCCAGGGCCACAGAATCTAGATGAGATGGCCGAAATCTTGCCGAATCATGACATCCTACAATGCCTAGTATGCATCCCTGAACCGTAAACCCTAAACCCTAAACCCTAAACCCTAGACCCTAGACCCTATAAACCCTAAACCCTATCAACCCTAAACCCTAAACCCTTTTTGGTTTAGGATCTCTTTTGGGGAACCTAATTCCCCAAGTCCTCGCTTGGGGATGCCCAGTCGGGCAGACCCGCGCTTCCAGCGCGTTTACCCACACGTTGTCCACAGGGTTTAGGGTTTAGGGTTTGGGGTTTGGGGTTTAGGGTTTGGGGTTTAGGGTTTAGGGGAAGTCCTAACCGCCACTACACTCCCGACTTGGAGGATCATGGGTGAGTAGGATACGTACACAGTGAGAAGTGGTCGTAACCATGCTACTTATCCCTACACACCCAAGTCTGCAAGGTGTCTATTTGGAGGTTCATAAGCACCCTAAGTAAGGCTAAAACCAGTTACAATTATAGTACCCTACCTATTAACCCCAATTATGACTACCCATGAACCTTCAAGTAGCCCTAAACCCTAAACCCAGTGCCCAGGTACTGAATCTCATCGTCGCTGTCGTGGCTACTTGGGCCACGTCAAGCTCCCCGAGCAGAGCGCCGGGGGGGGGGGGGGGTGGAGAGTTGGGGGCCCTCCAAAAGCCCTAAGCACTAAACCCAAAAACCCTAAAACAATAGACCCAAGGAACCCCAAAACCCAAAAACCCTAAAGCTCTAAACCCCTAATTATGCCCTAAATCCCTAAACCTGAAGACCCTAAGCCTAAGCCCTAAACAGCTCAAGCCGAGGAGTTGGTAAGGTTGAAGAATGGCCTCGGGATCGTACCGAGCATCGAAGCCCCCAAAGCCCTCGGCCCTCCCATGCCTTGGGAGCCCAGTGGTACACCCGCTTCCCTTTATTTGGGGGGTTTAAGGTTCCCTTACAAAGGGGTTTAGGGTTTAGGGTTTCGAAAAAGGGTTTAGGTTTAGGGTTTCGGGCTTGCGGAAAAAGGGGTGCCCTTATCATAGTGTGGCTGCTGTAGCCAGATGCCGAGGTGGACACCTTTGCCGAGGCAAGAGAGAAGGACGTCATGAACCGGGCGGAGGACGCGCCCCTTGCTTTGCCCGAAACTTTCCGGGGCGAGGGTCTGCGGGCACGTTGTTTTTTTGGGGGCAAACGGGGGAGCTCGCTAGAATGCCCTAGAAAAAATCTGCATGCGTATCACGCAAGCTCTCCCGAATTCCGATTCTGCTGTGGGCCCGGCGATATTGATCCAAGCCTTCACTTTTTGCTCGCTGTGCTCTTTGTTGCAGGAGATGGAAACTGACATTGAAATGGACAAGAAGTTTCTGCAGAGTCTTTGCCGCAGTTCGGGTTGCTGCACCCCGAACTACGCGCCGTACTATTTTGAGACCACAGATGCACTTTACATGTCCATACGTGACTTGGATCACAGAGCCTAAACGTCGAGGCGCCCACTCAGCCTGCCAGAGTTGATCCACTATGAAGGGTCTGAGCTTAGAAGCTTGGAGGTTATAGGTTCTGTGAGTATAGCCGTCATGCTGTCCTCGCACAACGCAATGCCACGCTTTGATTACGTTGCATGTCCCCAAACCCCCAATGGGTTCAGGTAGATAGGGTTTAGGGTTTAGGGTTTAGGGTTTAGGGTTTAGGGTTCAGGGCTTAGGGCTTAGGGTTTAGGGTTTAGGGTTTAGGGTTTAGGGCAACACCCACGGGCTCGACCCGAAAAATAGTCGCCAGCGCTGGAGGAAGATCTTCGACCGCGTTGATGAGGATGGAAGCGCCTCGTCATCCCAGAGATCCGTCACTTTTTCGACTAGGGTTTAGGGTGTAGGGTTGGGGTTTAGGGTTGAGGGTTTAGGGTTTGGGGTTTAGGGTTGAGGCTTTAGGGTTTAGGGCAAAGTCATCTACCTTGAGTTAGAACAAGAACTTGCATGTACTTTCAGGTCGGTTTCGAAGTGATATTGACGTGTGGAGGTCCATGAAACGCCCGGCGTCCTAGTAAGGGGGGGGACAGGGGCCCAGAATGGTGGTAGGAGGTTTGTGCACAGAAGAAGAAGGGGGGGGGGGGTGCAGAGGGGTCCATGGTCAGGTGGGGGAGCTTGGTCCTTTTCCGGACCAAAAAACGGAGAGGGAAGATGTTCGCCTTTGGCCTTGGGCCTCGGGGTACTTCCTGGAAAAATTACCCTTCACAGTTTGTAGGGTTTAGGGTTCAGGGTTTAGGGTTTAGGGTTTAGGGCCGTTTAGGGTTTAAGGTTTAGGGTTTAGGGTGAGTTTGGTCTCTTCACTTTGGGTTTCAAGGCGATTCTTGGGCACTTAGGTGTCCAAAAGGGAGAAGAGACATACCTCCAAAGGTAAGAGCCCCAATATAGTGCACAGTCCATTCCCCAAGCCCCACACCCCAAATAGTTTTAAGGCGTGTTCCTTATTGCCTGGTTTTGGGCTTTTTTGGGTACCCCATATGAGCCCACAATCTCGTTTTGCAGGTAGTGCTACTGAAGCCACATGAAGAATTTTGAGGTAAACGAGAAAAAAAGGTACGTAGTGGGCTTCTGAAGGCAAGAAGCCTTAAGCCAACAACCCTAAGCCCTAAACCCCAAAAACTAAACCCTAAACCCTAAACACCTGCCTGGCTTGCTCTGCGCCATCCACTTGCTGCGCTCGGGTTCCGCGCAGGCGGGGAGCTCACGCTAAGTGAGCTTATCGAGGGAGCTCGAAAGGTGCGGAGCCCAGGAATCAGTGAAGGGTGGTTGGGGTTTAGGGTTTAGGGTTTAGGTTTAGGGTTTAGGGTTTAGAGTTTAGGGTTTAGGGTTTAGGGTTTAGGGTTTAGGGTTTAGGGTTTAGGGTTTAGGGTAGGGTTTAGGCTTGGAGGCTTGTCGGTTGCTGTTGAGGAACTTCAGTAGTTGCCATGAGATGGATACACAGTCAGTAACGTGGCTCCTCATCACGGTGACCCGATTTAAGTTTCTTACTATCAGCAACCTAGGAAATAGAAAGAATGACCGCAGGGTCTACGCATAGAGGGTTGAGAGATCCTGAGAGAAGAAGTTGGACTGAGAACCCAGGGCTAGCTCGCGGCGCTGACAGCATTCTTACCCAACAGGTTCCATCAGCTTCGGGCTTCGATTGAGCCAGGCAAGAGATGTCTGAACCCTCAAACCCTGAGCCCTGAAACCCTCGGACCCTCAACCCTGAACCCCCTAAACCCTAAACCCTAAAGTACTCCTGTGGTTTTCCCTTGAGGCCCATATAACTGCTTGGCTCTGGATTCCGATTAGTCATGTAGTCTACTCGGGACCAACGGACCTTGCCTGCCTTGTGCGAGAGTGAGCGACGAAACCCTAAACCCTAAAACCCTAAACCCCCCGCCCCCCCAAAGCGTTTGGGAGCTCTCAGGACGCGGAGTTTCAGAGCCGCCTCCGTGTTATGGATATCGATGAGGCCTCGGGGCCTATTTTGGGGGGTTTGGGGTCAGTAAGGTCAGGGTTGCAAAGGGGTTTCTTAGGGTTTGGGGTTTAGGGTTTAGTAAGGGTTTAGGGTTTGGGGTTTGGGGTTTGGGGCTTGGGGCTTAGGGTTGGGTTTCGGGTTCCAGGCTCAAAAGCGTGTAGGTCCCCATGTGAATACTTGTGTCCGTCTTCCTGGCAGGCTTCAAGGCGGCCAGAGTGCAAGAGGGACCTTTCATGGAGGGGGCCTCGGATAAAAACCTGCCCATTCGCACAATGCCCCATGTAGCGTGGGGTCAACGTGCCTGTTTGTTACCTTGCTTCAACTTGGAAGCCATTAGCTCCAAGAGCGGGGCGAGAGAGAGAGAGAGAGAGAGCGCGCCCCTTGGGGCGGCCTTCCCTCGGGAAGGTCATGTGCTGTGGAAGGAAGGAAGGAAGAGAGAGAGAGCCGGGGGCCTCGCCCCCGTGCCCCGCGAACTTTGAACCAAAGAGGATTACTATATGCCCCTAGCGAATTATCGTTTTAGTTTTGTTTATTTAAAACTATATTAAACATATTATCTTTATTAAGGTTCTAAGGCGAGTATAGATTACAGGGGGCGTGGCCTGGGTCTTTGCAGGCTGACCTGCAGCAGCTTTTTCAGATGATCGACATCGACGGCTTCGCATCAGCACCAGACCGGCTGATAAACGGAATCTGTTCCTGGCTAGGTGGAACGCTTGGATGTTGCATATTCACCCGTTTTGGCCTTAAGACCCTTCACCCTCAACCCTAAATACTAAACCCTAAACCCTAAATCTTACACATCTCATTCCTCAGCGCTGCAACAGAGTGTTCCTGCACACGCACAACTGCCCGAAGCCCAAGCCGCCTTCCAGCAGGCCCCTAAACCCTAAACCCTAAACCCTAAACCCTAAACCCTAAACCCTAAACCCTAAACCCTAAACCCTAAACCCTAAACCCTAAACCCTAAACCCTAAACCCTAAACCCTAAACCCTGAGCCGGTTGCCAAAAAAAAGCCTAAACCCCCAAGTCCAAGATTCTGGGACGGTGGAGAGAGACGAGTTCATACAGCCACTGAGCCGATGGGTACACGACTCCAAGTGCCGTGGGCAAGGATTTAGGGGTTCGGGGAGCAAGAGTTTAGGGTTTAGGGTTTAGGGTTTAGGGTTTAGGGTTTAGGGTCTAGGGTCTAGGGTTTAGGGTTTAGGGTGTTTTTGAGTAGCCGCGAGTGCTGCTCATCTCGCTTCGCAGTGTGCTTACCCGGGATTCGTCATGGCTTGGATGGGTTTAGGGACAAATGGGTCCCCGCGTCAGTTCTGGGGGTGGAAAGCGGTTACAGGGGTTTTGGGTTCAAACCCTAATCCCTAAACCCCAAACCCTATGCCCTAAACCCTAAACCCCAAACCCCAAACCCTAAACCCAATACCCTAAACCCTAAACCCTAAACCCCATCCTGCCGAGCTTCCCAAGGCAAAAGCAGTGCTTAGGGCTAAAGATTCGCACTTCGCACTTCCCTGGAGCCCTAGAAAAGGGGGCAAGTGCCTAAACCCGAAGCTTGGGATTTAGGGTTTAGGGTTTTAGGGTTTTACTGGTTTTTGGTTTTTTTGTTTTTAGGGTTTTAGGGTTTTAGGGCTTTAGGGCTTTAGGGCTTTGGGGTTTAAGGGTTTTAGGGTTTAGGGTTTGAGGGTTCTAGGGTTCTAGGGTTTTGGGGTTTTGGGGTTTTAGGGTTTTAGGGTTTTAGGGATTTGGGTTTTTTAGGGTTTTAGGGTTTAGGGTCTTAGGTTTTTACGGCTTTAGGGCTTTGGGGTCGTAGGGTTTTAGGGTTTTAGGGTTTTAGGGTTTTAGGGTTTTAGGGTTTTAGGGTTTTAGGGTTTTAGGGTTTTAGGGTTTTAGGGTCTTAGGGTCTAGGGTTTTGGGGTTTTAGGGTTTTTGGGTTTTTAGGGTTTTAGGGTTTTGGGGTTTTAGGGTTTTAGGGTTCTAGCGTTTTAGGTTTTGAGGGTTCTAGGGTTCTAGGGTTTTGGGGTTTTGGGGTTTTAGGGTTTTAGGGTTTTAGGGTTTTTAGGGTTTTAGGGTTTTGGGGTTTTAGGGTTTTAGGGTTCTAGGGTTCTAGGGTTTTAGGTTTTGAGGGTTTTAGGGTTCTAGGGTTTTAGGGTTTTGGGGAGGGTTTTGGGGTTTTAGGGTTTTAGGGTTTTAGGGTTTTAGGGTTTTAGGGCTTTAGGGCTTTAGGGTTTAGGGTATTAGGGTTCTAGGGTTTTAGGGTTTTGGGGTTTTGGGGTTTTAGGGTTTTCGGGTTTTAGGGTTTTAGGGTTTTGGGGTTTTAGGGTTTTAGCGTTTTAGGGTTTAGGGTTCCCCCTTATATGAACTGTTCCTCAGTAGGGATTACAGTACCCCCTTTTTGCAATCCCTATGAAGGGCTGTTAGTCGAAGGGGGAACATCCCAACCCTATGCCCTTATTCTGAAGGCACACCATGAACTTGAAAATCTAGGGGTTCTCACGATGAATAAATTACCCTAAACCCTAAACCCTAAACCCTAAACCCTAAACCCTAAACCCTAAACCCTAAACCCTAAACCCTAAACCCTAAACCCTAAACTAAGTGAGGGGTCGCTTCCGTCGAGCGGCAGACCCCGAACGCTCGGCCGAGGGCCTTACAGCCCGAGCGCCCAAGCGAAAAGAGAAACGGAAAGGTGAGGGTTAAGCCTCACCGTCTGTCATGGACAGGCCAACGGACATCGGCCTTTGTTACGACAACGTCAGTACTCGGCTAAGGGATGGCCGGCACCCAGACCACCTTTAGCGTAGCTAATAAAGTGCAATCCCAAAGCGTACCCTTTGCCTCTGGACGTGATTCAGGGTTTTGGGTTCAGGGTTTGCTGGGCCCCCCCTGCCGGGGGCCCCCTGCCCCTGGCGGCTTGGATTCCTGGACCAGAGGGCCCGCGAGGGTGTCCAGGCAGGCCGTTTGCTCAATCCCCAAAACGCTCGACGAAATGGCCTGGTTTTTTTTTCAGGCCAAAACCAGAAGGGCCCCCAGGACCAACGCTGCTCGGCCGGGCAGGGCTTCCGGCCAAGGGTCTGGAAGGGCCCGGGTTCAGGGCCAGAGCAAGGCCCCCCCGCGCCAATGGGCCCCCCCATCAAGGCGGCCGTACCATCAATGAAAAATGTTTCTTCGGTACGGGAATCGATGGTTTTGCGCACCCCTCCATTTTACACCAGAAGCGCCAGGAAAGCCCAGGAAGCCCCCAAGAGGCGCCAAGAGCCACCAAAAGGCTTAACAGCTTCAAAAGGCCCCCTAAAAGAAGGGGGACCCCAAGATTTGTCCGTGCCCGCAATGAAAAATGCGAGTTAAATATTGAAAACGATGGTTTTAGGCACCCCTGCCCGCAATGAAAAATGTTATGTTTTAGTACTGAAATCGATGGTTTTGGGCACCCTTCCATCTCACCCCGAAAGGACCAGGAAAGCCCCAGGAAGCCCCCAAATCCGCAAGGGCCTCTACGGGCCCTGACGTGCCGAAGGCCCGAAAAGGGCCGGGGCTACCCCGAACACCGCAAAACCCTGCGAAGGCCTTCAAGCAAATAAGGGCCTCTACGGGCCCTAACGTGCCGAAGGCCCGAAAAGGGCCGAGGCTACCCCGAACCCCAGCTTAAACCCTAGCGATTGAAATACTCATTGGCGAAAAAAAATTACTAGGTTCACTGACCTTCAAATGAATAAAGGGCCTCTATGGGCCCTGACACGCCGAAGGTCCGAACAGGGCCGAGGCTACCCTCGACCCCAGCTTAAACCCCAACACCAACTTCAAAAAAGCAAGCATCGGTGCACAAGAAAAAGTCCATAAACCCTAAACCCTAATAGAGTATAGTTTTGGGTGGCCGGGGTGGGTTGACGGGCAACGCGAGTGCGCGGCCCGGGGTGTTTCAACCCGAGCGCGCGCCCCCCCTGACACACCCTAAACCCTAAACCCGAAACCCTGCTGTCGTAAGTACGGGGTCTTTGGGGCTCTCTGCCCTCCACCCCCCCAAAGCCGGTTCGTTGACTCGTTGGGGGTTAGTTTTGGGGGCTCCAGGTCTCCGAGGGTTTAGGGTTTAGGGTTTAGGGTTTAGGGTCGGACAGGAACCATAGCTTGGATAAGCGACCATATATCCAAGTCCCCTTGTGCGTCTTAGTAAAGGCACCCCTATTCGGCCAAATCCTCAACCACACTTTCGCCGGCCGAGAACCGCCCCTCGCTTCATCAAGTACAATCTGATGCGATCCCTCCATGAGCAGGAAAAGTCGCTCGCGTGCAGGATGAGGAGTTGAATGCCTCAGGTGCCCACTTGAAGTTCAAACCTTTTGTTGATCATGGCATCCGGGCGTCGAGCGGGTTGTTGGTATGGTGCTTTCAACTCTGCAATGTGGGGTTTTAGAGTACTTTGGGTAAGCTAGATGTCAGAGTGCCTGGGGACGACAGTTACTGGAGATGCTCCTGCGTAATCTGAACCTTCTGAGGTTGAAGAAGCTCACAGAGGTCAGATTTGCCACTCGTCTCAAAACGTGCCAGCTGCATCAAGAAACCCAGACTCCTGTTTCTATCAAGAAGCACTTTCAATTGCTGGAGTCCGCAGACATTGGAAATAGGTGTAGTGACATAGCTGCGCCTCCCCCCCAAATCCAGAACATATTGCCTCAATCGGTTGCAGGATGGGCAAAGACAGGGGCATAGTTCCTAAACCCTAAGCCCTAAACAATTCCCAGAGGGGGTCTGCTAGGCGGGTGGCAAAAAAAACAATAACCCCTAAAGTTATCCGTATCATCCCCGTAAGATCCCTGCATATCTTCATCACACACCCCACACAGAAACGTCTTTCTCCCGTAGCTCTAAGCATGCCCCAAATTCTTTGGTTCCGGGTTTAGGGTTTAGGGTTTAGGGTTTACTCTTAGTGTGAGGAGAGTCGTTTGGGACCACTCGCCAATTTGCACCCCATCGGCTGCGCAAACCCACTGACTGGCATCCTGGACCCTAAGCCAAAAACCCAATCCCATCGGTTGAGGGTTTAGGGTTTAGGGTTTAGGGTTTAGGGTACTTTCCTGCAGAGACGGTTTTTGGGGCTCTGATGGTACCTAAACCCTGCCTGAAAGCTTCCCTATTGATTTCGGAGCACACCCAAAAGTCACGACACGTGGGCGAACAACATGGGCAAACACCATGAACAGCTGCTGAACTGGTGTAGTTCTGTAAATAGGGTCCCTATAATACGGAGCCCGTACAGTGAGGACCCGGACCCTAATTTAGAACCGCCCACTTCTTGCACCGACTGCTTTGTAAAGCTGAGGAGCAGATGAACTCACACATCCAAAGGTTTCTTGTCATTGACGTGCCATCAGTTTGAGCTTGTGGTGCTGGAATGCATGGATGGTAGATTTGGGGGGAGTCGCACGGGTGGTTCGGGATAAGATCTTCTTGGATTGAGCTTCAGAGTTTCATGCACAGTCCACAGGGTCCACAACCCTGTGTGGGGCCTTTTTTTGCCCTAAACCCTAAACCCTAAACCCTTCTGGTTTTGGCCGAGCCTGTCCCATGCTGTTGCACCTTTGGGCTTGCTAGCTTTGCCCACATCGCCCCCAAAACCCCGAAATCCTAAGCCCTAATCCCGACA